GTTGCGAGGAACAATCCCAGTCTTTTTCCAGGCAATTCTGATGTTGAGGAGCGTTATTATGTCCTTCCGGGCCTGCTCGTAGCACTCCAAAACCTCCTCCTTAGATGGCCTGAGTCCCAGACGGCCGCTGGGCGTCTCCTGGAGTAAGGTCTTCAACCTCTTCTTTACCAAATTAAAGACTCCCACATCTAACACCTGGACTACATGGGAGCAGTGAGGTTCATAAAAGATCAACCATACTTTGTTTCTCAAGCAGGTGGCTAGGAACTCGTCATTCGTGTGGGAGTCGTGGCCATCACACACCAAAACCACCCATGTGTTGCCGTGGACCTCCCGAATGTGAGGAATAAAGATACGTTAAAGCCATTCTAACACAATAGGATTCGAGGTCCATCCATTGGGCGACGTAATAAACCTCCAGTTGGTGAATTTGTCCTCGTTTTGGTTGCTAAACCACTGGGTTTGTACGTTAACCCCCTTAAGAATCACCAGCGGCGGCAAGGTCTCACCAGATCCGCTCACACACTCTAGGGCAGTTATCTATTCACCCTTCTCGACCCCTTTCTTCATAGCCACGTTGCTAGAGGCCTCGGAGACCACCCAATGGGAGTCCCCAACCCCCTGGGCGATTCCCATTTCGTCGACGTTGTACCAGCGTGCTGGCATGAGGTTAACCACGTCAGGGGCGTCACACCGATCGAAAAAAATGTTGATATTTGCCGCTGTAGCACCATTCACTCGGTTGTAGTCGATAACACGAGACTTCATTATCTTGACTTCTGGGTTTCGAGACAGGAACTTGGATACCCAATTTTTCCCTAATTCTCGAGCATCCCCGGTGGCATGGAGCATCCGCTGGGCCATGAGACGGAACTTAGAGACCGCCGGAGAATACCCTAGCCGTGCTTACCCCAGGGCCCAGCTTGCCAGCTTATGTTCGAGATACAGTGAGAGAGCCTGTTGGAGAGCGCTGGTCTCATTCCGCATTGGGGTGCCAGAGATTCGTCGGTTGACGTATGAGCGACTGATTTGCCATTCGAGGGCTGACGAGCGGACTGGAGCTCCGCGTTGGATGGCCAAAATGGCGGCTTCAGCTTTTATTTGACGGTCGTAAAATGACATCATGAGATTCAGCAGTGGATAAGGATTCAAATAGTGTGCTTTGTGAAAAAAAAGATGCAAAAGTGATGGTGTAGATGGTGGATCACCATAATCCTGGTGGTTGGTGAATTACGCGTTTGTGGGTCAGAACGCGCTGGTCCGCGGGGGGGTGGTTTGCAGGGGGGTGGGAGATGTTATTTGTCGCGAACTATGAATGCAGCAGAGTGCAACTATCCCATCCATGACAAGGAACTACTGGCAATTGTCTATGCCATGCGAGAATAGAACCACATGCTCATTGCCCTTCAGCATCCCTTTTCTGTTTTCACAGATCATCAGGCACTCCAGTACTTTGTCACTAAGCGACAGCTCAATACTCGACAAGCAGCCTGGAGTGAGGATATCTCGGGCCTGGACTTCACCATCTCTTTCTGTCCAGGTAGGGAGAACCTGATAGCTGATACTCTATCACGAAAAGCTGTAGATCTGGCTACACAAAAGGCCATTAAGGATGAAAGTCGCCGCCAGATCCTCCTACCTGTTGAAAGGTTCAATGGACCCGTTGACCTGCCTGTGACCGACTCGTCATCTAGTCCAGAAGACAACCTGGTATGTGCCATTGTGGCCACCTTAAAAGCCAACAACCAGGACCCAGACGGTTCTCTAGAGGGTGTTCAGCTTATTGATGCCATCTTGACAGCCAACCGCTCTTCAGAGACCCTACTCCTTGAGCGGGAAAAAGCCAAACACAGTCAGCAAGGTTATAGTCTTGTTGATGGCTTATTGTTGAAAGAGGGACGCCTTGTGGTGCCTAATGAGGGGCACCTACATACACAACTTTGTGATGAGATTCACAGACTACCTTCCCGTGCACACCCTGATCGGAACAAGATGCGTGCCTTAGTAGCAGAGCGTTATTCCTGGCCTGGTATGGGTGCTTTCATAGACCGCTATTGCGCTCATTGCCCAGAATGTGGCAGAGGCCGCAATTCCCGTCTTAAGCCAGCCGGCTTGCTACAGCCTCTGCCTATACCAGATTGTCCTTGGCAACATGTCTCTATGGACTTCAAGACCATGCCAAAAGACAAGCTAGGCTATGACACAATCTATGTGGTGGTAGACCGACTAGGCAAACGCCCGTGGTCTATTCCAACATATAAGACATGTACAGCCAAGGACCTTGCCACCTTATACTTCAATGGACCTTGGAGGGTCTATGGCACCCCTGAGACTGTAACTTTAGACCATGGTCCCCAGTTCATTGCTGCCTTTTTGGATAAACTAGCCAAGCTTATAGGGATGGACCTACGCCGCTCTACTGCAGAGCACCCTCAGACGGATGGTCAGATAGAGACCATCAACCAGTTCCTCCAGACCAAGCTCCGACCCTTTATAAGCCATTTTCAGGATGACTGGTCTCAATTGCTGCCCTGTCTGGATTTTGCTTACGCCACACAATCTCATACAAATACTGGCTTATCTCCAGCTGAGGTTGAAATGGGGTTTCTTCTAGTCATGACGTTTGACTGGGATAAACGCAGTCCTCTCTCAAGAAAGACGCCTATTACAGAGCAGCTGAGTCGTTCAGACGCTCAAGAATTTGCTGAACGCCGGGCACAGGCTGTGGTATGGGCCAAAACCAACCTCTTCAAGGCACAAACAGAGTACAAGAAACAGGCTGACAAATCCCGACGACCAATTGACTGGAAGCCAGAAGATATGGTATATGTCCGCAAAGGAGCATGGCGCACTGACCGCCCACATGATGGGTTGGACAACCCCTATATGGGACCATATCGGGTTATCAAACAGGTCAATGAGAATGCCTTTGAGATTGACTTACCCCCTGGGATAAACGCTCATCGGGTTATCAATGCAAGCCGCTTAGTACGGTCACCAAATAACCCTGTCCCAGGTCAGGTGATCCCTCCACCGCCTCCCGTCAACGTGGATGGGGTTCCTGAGTGGGAAGTTAACAAAATTCTGTCCTTCCGCCAAACCCGGGGCAAGCTGGAGTACCAGGCTGAATGGACAGGTCATGATCCTGACCCGATGTGGTACCCAGCAGCTAACTTCAGAGGCTCAGCTGTACGCGTCAAAGAGTTCCATGAGGCAAATCCCAAGGCGCCAGGTCCACCTCAAAGGTTACAGCAATGGATAGAGTTTGTTTGTTTGTTTTGTATTTATCGTGGGTGCAGTCCCTCAACAGGGCAAACCACGCCTCCCAGAGCCATTGCATCGCAAGGTTATAGAGGTGTCAGTCTAGATACATTCAGATCCGCGCACGAGCCTATCCTCGTTGTAGCGGTACCAATCTGGAGTGACCAGATGGTTTTAGTCAATACCCAAGCACGATTCCGTCAGAAAAATCTCCTATCCAGTGACTAAGCGACCCAGTGAACCTCAGTACTCTGGTGTACACATCGTTCCAGTAGCCGTTCGATATATGTCGCATTGGTGGGTGAAATAGGTGTTTGTTATCTGCTGGCGAGGGAAACCACAAGGGGAAAAACCTCGCAGGAGTGGGTGTTGTGGAGACAAGCTGCTTGGCTATCGGGCTCTGCGATAAGGGGCCTCTCCACTGTCGTGTGCTGGTTGTCGACTCGCACAAGCCGGGTCAGAAGGGGGCCATAGCAGGATTCGAACCCACTTGTTCTCGTCGCCCACCGCACAAACGAGAACACAACCAGGCGCATTTGACCATTGCGCCATACGGCCAGCAATGGATAGAGGCTGCTGCTGATGATCAGGACCTAACTGATCATAAGGAAGACAACTTGCCTGTAAGGGGCTCTGCACAAGGAGTAAGAAGAACTCGTAAGAAATCATCGTCGTAAACCGACTTTGATAAGGGGGAGAGTAGTGTGACGGCTGTGGCGGCCTGCACAGACCTTCCCACATGACAAGTGGATACCTCCCAATAGGGGAAGGATCTGACCAGAGGATCCCCTTAAAGGGGCAACCTCCCACTGTACCTATCTCTCTCTCTCTCTTCCTTTCCTCTCTAGTCTTGATATTCTCGTCAATAGAGTAATAGCTGCTTGCTGCCGGCCATGTCCCAGCTCCTCAGTACGCTCGCCGTGACAGTAATAATGCCTCAGATGTCATCAAGCCCGTAAACTGAGTCTGCACAGCGACTGTTCAGTTGTAGCTGCAACCGCCCTAACTATGGCCAGAGACGGTGACCCCGTCGAAGACGTTGACTCTGGCGCTAACACTTTGAGGGCTGCAGTGTATCGAGGAAGAGACCGCCTTTTTCATGAACAACGCGTGTGTACGATGGATAATTTCTTCCCTTGGCTCTGGATGGAAACCTGTCTAATACTCAGCCTATCATAGCTCTTTGATTTGTCCTGACATCGTTCTACCGGACTCCATTGCCGGTGGACCTCCCCATCCCGGACGCGAGCTGAGCCAGGCGCTGACCACTTATCAATTGGCGGTTAAATTTAACATCCGGACCCCTTGTGTCAGATTACCGCCATGTACGACGAACAGTACCAACTTGGTCGCGTCAAGATTTGGCTTCTTAAGCAATTTGCAACATGGAAGCGCGACATCGCCCCCTATAGTTCCCTATTCGGGCTTAAGCGAGGAGAAAAGCAGGGCTTCATGAAGAAAATACAAAGACAACGACAATTCGAATTCTCGGCGAGATATGGTGGCTAGTTTGCCAACGTGCTTTGCAAAGAGAAGCTAAGAGTCTACAATTCGCCCTCCAACTCGAAGCCAAGGACCGCCGCGAGGCAGCAAGACTGCAAGCATGCGGACACTCACTCGCCAGAATAGCCGAATGCACAGATAAAAGCGTAGCCGCCGTAGCAGCAACCAAAAAATAAAACTACAAGCAGCCCTAGCCTAGGTACCACGTTTGCATAGAGCTTAAGACCTTCGCCATGATGGCACAGAATCCAGACAAGTCGGGCATAACGCTAGATTCGCGGAGATTTATGACTGGCCACCCCTGGTCTGCCAGAGACGATAATGGAGGAGCCGATGACAAAACCGGAGGGGATACCTCCAAGCCGGGAAACAACGAGACGACGCCAAGACAGGCGAAAATGCGTCAGAACTGGAAAACATAATCTGTCCGGACAAGATACAAATCCCGCGTGGATCGTTTGACGGATTATAGTTGGACTAGCTTCTGAATGCGGTACGACCCTCTATATTAATCTATTGTGATAACTAACCAACAAAATAATAGCCAAGTGCCCTCCTCAGCAGATTCTTTCAAGCTTCAGAGGCCGGCAGCCTAGCCGCTTTCTTCCAACCGACCAAATCCCCATACCCTTCAACGAATTTGGCTTCGAGGAGAAGCTATGGGAAAATGAGGATATGAATTGGCAAGCTTTTACCATGGCGTTGTTCAACTTCGGCCGAGACTTGCTGACCCGAGTCGGCATCACAGATTTCGAGTTGCAAGAGGAGTCTTCCCTTGGGCTAGGCAGATGTACGATTATTCTTTTGATAGCTTATTGTGGCGTAACGTTACTGATCTCTAGAATAGTATTCCGGATGGTTTTCCAGTCAGCTTCAACAAATCAAGACCCATCTTGTTGGCATTCGCCCTCTCGAGGAACAGACGCTCCAGTCCAGAAGCGCTGCGGTAGGCCTCGCAAGAAAGGCATCGTCAAGGCCAGTACCATCCCCCCTATATAAGTCAGCCACCCCCACTAGTCGGCCAGCCAAACCCCACCATCACCACCAAAACTCCCACATGTTCACTTATACGGATTCAGCCTGATATTGAAGCTATTCACGATGTATTCAGTGCTCTAGATAGCCCTGATCTTGAGGTTTTCCCCAATGCTAAATTTACCCCTCCCGGCTTACGTGATTGAGGAGCTATTACCCCGCTTTTAATACCTTAATAGAGATTTTTGCGGCTCTCCTGAAGCCTCATTCTATATGCACCGCAGCATCGTATAGACGCCCAAAATGCCTCCCTATTTGTATACGCAGGATCAGATGGCTTTGGCCATCTTAGATATCACAGATAAGGGCCTATCTGTACAAAACGCTGGTCGAAAACACGGTATTCCGCACCAAACGCTGTCTGATCGACTTAACGGCAAGGCTACCAGAACCAAAGCCCACACACAGCAACAGAGACTATCCCCTGCACAGGAAAAGACTACAATCAAATGGATTTTATTACAGGAAAAGCTTGGCCTAGCCTCTTCGCACTTCCTGGTTCGTGAGATTGTCAAGAAGCTGTTAAAGAAGAAGGGAGATGAGGGCCCTCTAGGAGACACCTTCATGGCAGCGTTCAAGTGCCGCAACCCCAAAATTAAGACAAAAGTCGGCAAAAGGATAGAAGCAGCACGCTTCAAGGGGTTCACGCCCAAGTTAATCAACTGATTTTTCGAAATTCTCAAAGATTACGGCTGGATGAAGCCAAAGAACACCTATAACGTCGATAAGGGCGGCATTATGGCGGGTTTTGGTAGCTATATCTACACTCCCCGGCCAGAAGTCTCCGAGCCCACTTTTCGAGCAGCCCTCAACGCCTACACCTTCCAACTTTCAGCATTTACCACACACCCATTTCTCACTATAATAATACAGAAAAAATTATATTATGTAGGCCATTCCATAGTGTGTGTACCAGCCACCTGCCTTTTTCACTGCGGCGATTTGGTTGCCAAGAGGTTCGATGAGAACGCGTACATCCTCAGGATCGATCTCTGACCACGCCTTTTTGATTAACTCTCTGGCATATGCCTCGTGGGCAATATTAGCCTTTAAATCAGCGAAATCAGGCTCGATTCTCTGTATCTGCTTCTTCAGAAGTGCCCAAACATGCTCGATTAGGTTCAAATCAGGGCTGTGAGCAGGCCATTCAATCGTCCAGATGCCGTGCTCCTCTAGCCACTCTGGAGTGCCTCCAAATCGATAGATGCGAGCGTTATCTTGCATAAAAGGATCCCCAGCCTCGTAAAACGGAAGGAGCCCTTCCTCTAGGACATCTTGGTATGAAGCTAAAGATACTCCTCTGCAAAGAGCATCCTTATCGGGCTCACAGAAGATGATTTTGCTTAACCCACCTTCTTTGCCACGTAATCAGATCAAAGCCTAACGCATAATGGAGATACAGGGTCTCCCATGACTCCAAGGGTTCACGAGATCCTGTCTGTAACATTCAGAAGAGAGGCGGATGACCCAATTGCCCGGATTATCAGGTGAATTCTGGACCATGACTTCGTCTGAGAAGAGCGTTTGTATCAGCTCCTCCAGAGCCTCTAGAGAGTCATATTTATTGCAAAAAGCGAGCCTCTCTTGTGTGTCATCTTCTGTAAGCTCGATCCGCCTTGCCACCCTCCACTTACGAAGTCCGTAAGCGCAAAGAACGCGCTTAATAGTTGTATAAGAATAGAGGACCCTGTTCTCCTTCTTGAGCTCTTTGTAGGTAGCCCTGGGGTACTTTTGTATCATTTTAATTAACTGAGCTTCTCCGCGCTTACTCAGAGTCTTTGTGGCTCCCTTTCGAGGTCGAGAGATCGTGGTGTTGTGCTCTCTAGCAGTGTTGATAATGTCGGTCACGGTTTGAGGCCAATCCAGATGGAACGCGCTCGCGACATTGTCGCGCCTTGCGCCTGCCGCCCTGGCAGCCACAATCGCTGCACGAGCTTTGGAGGTGAATTCCTGGGTTGGCCCGCGATTTGCGGTCAGAATGGTACCGACTTTTTGTAAATCCATTATTTTGGTATTAAGTAAATAAAAGATGAAGAAGGAAGGGGGTCGTGAGCGCGTAGACGCGTTTTGAAACTAGCATGGTGGATGCTCGGAGACTTTTGGAGGGTCAGTATACCACTTTAATTCCAGAAAAAATCTCATTAGATTCACAGGCATTGATTCCCTAGTTCTATGTAGTTCTATTACTAAAAAAGCCTTCTTAAAGAGGCCACATGGCCGTAGCTGGACCTCTTTCATCGAGACCATCTCAGCAACTGGAAAAATCCTTAAACCAGGTATTATCTTTAAGGGGAAGGACCTCTAAGTGTAATGGTTCATTGACGAGCTTAAAAAGACCATAATTGGCACTGTATATGCTCAGAAAACGGCTGGACTTTGAATGCTATAGTCTGCAAGTGGCTAAAAGATATTTTCCTCCCATAGGCAGACAAAGAACGAGGAAGAGACCAGTCTGAGGCTATTCTCTTGATACTGCAATGGCCATAAGAGCCACACCTCCATATATATACGATTTTTCCTTATTTTAAATGGACTTCTTTTATTTTTTTCTGATTTAATATGATTTAATGCGTATTAATAGGACGAATTCATAACTATATATTTTTTGGTAACATGTTGCTCTGTTTCTTTCCTGCGCATACTAGTCACGGCATGCAACCCCTGGATCACGGTCCCTATAATGCCCTAAAGGCATACTACCAGAAATTCCTCTCTGAGCTGAATTCCTTGATGGATGCCTCGCCTGTTGACAAGATCAAGTTCATCCGGTGCTATAGCAAGGCCAGAATTACTGCCTTCATGAAGCAAAACATCCTCTCTGGCTTCAAAGTCACTGGATGTTATCCTATCAGCTACAAGAAATATTTAAAGCACCCAGAGATACAAGAAGACAAGAAGAAAACCCCTGAGCTTAATACCCCTGAAAGCTCTGAACCAGAGGACCAGCGGACGCCTACTACGAGTCGCCAGATCATGGATTTCGGCAAAAAAAGATCTCCAAGAACCAGGCTGAAGTATAGGAAGATAACAAACGCGTTCGAGGCTAAGGAGACCGAGCTTATGATAAAGAAAGGAAGATCAAGGCTCTGGAGACTGAACTGGAGCAGGCACGGCCTAAAAAACAGAAAAAGGTCCCTAATCCTAACAAGAAATTCAGAACAATCACATAGATACTAAGTACAGGTGGTACTATCACCCCTGGTGCCCTTGCGGGTAAAACATAAGTTGTAGTTATGGATTCAGAGGATTCAGAGGACGAAGACAAAGACTCGGCTAAAGAGGAGGTTTTGGAGGCTGTATAGGAGCCTAGGCACATCCGTTCGGGGTGAGCCATTCGGGCGCCCGTACGATTGTACGAGTAAACATCTTCAGCACTTTCGAATAATAATATAGCCATAAATCTCTGATCTGAATAGCTTCATTCGTGGGTGGGTGAATAAGGGGGTGTTTTGGTGGTGACCCCACAATTTGGCTGGCCGACTAGTGGGGGTGGCCGACTTCTATGGGGGGGATGGTATTATCAAGGCAGAGGCCCCTAACACTCCAACCGCCTCCTCGAGCACCCCTTCAATCTCTCCGCTACGCCGCCGAGCCTGGAAATACTTGTGCGCGAGTGTATTTGCACCGGGTACATCGGCATCTGGATCTACTCCTGGATTTACTCCAACCCGACCGGCCAAGCGCCGTCCAGGCCGCCAATCTGGCACCACGAAGAAGGCGGCCAAATCCCTGACAGCATCCATGTCTTTCCCATCGCCAACCTACACGTCCACACTGCCACGAACTGCATACCGACTCACTCAACCAATCATACGACATAGTCCTTCATATCCCTCAATAGTCCAAATACCACCGGTTCCAAAATGACAAAGCCTAACAGTCCCCTGCCGAGCATTCATGGGAGCCCATCGGCCACTCATAGATGGTTCAGTATTTGCAAAATTGTTGTGTTCGCTGGAGCGGAGATATCCGTTTCGGCAGGATGTATGCCCTTCCATTCCAGTTGAAGCTTGTCACCCAAGTCAATATCAACCTATATTTTTAATTCCGACGTTCCGCTCAGAAGACGGCTTGTTCCATCGCCTGAATGAGCAGTACGACCCCAAAGGCTCGGGTGTACACCGGCATTTGGGCATTCTGGCATTGTCAGGACTCAGGCCCGCTGTGCCCACCGGGGCGCGACCACAGCCATTAGTACGGCAACGGTGGAAACTGCGCCCATGGCGAATACAGGGCTCGCGTGGTGTTTGCATAGGGATGCGTCCCATATTCTGCTAGGTCGAGGATGAGTAAAACTCAAGCTCGCATCCGACACCAGGTCGGCTCGCGACTCGTACAGAGCTCTGTTGGACTTCCTTGCCACGAGCAGCCTGGCGAAGAAAATGGAAATTGACATCCAGGACGATACCGTGCGGGCCCTGTTTCATTCAATAACTCTCGAGCTGCGCTCGCCTGGTAATCGCCCATAGCTTCCTACGTTCCATCCCCTTTCTCCCGATCCACCGAATTCCTGCCGCCACTCCCGAGTCCTCCAACCCGCAAGTCAATCAACGCCGCAGCTAGCCCAATCCCAACGTCCGGTGCTACTTGATGCCACACGTATGTTCCAAGATAGCCGTTCTGGGTAGCCCAGTTCCTTTACCCCAAGCATCGCCTGGTACCTTCTTTTCGTCATACTCCCGTCCTGGTCGCCTAGTGCACCGCATACGCTCGTTGTATCAGGAGAAGTTTGATCTTTACCTGGCCTTACTCGAAGCGGAAACTTTGTCCCTGGGACATAACATCGTTGAAGACAACCATGAGTGGGCTAAATGATGCAGTGATGAGAATGGATGAAATGATCGAGTGTGACAATCAGGCCTGCAGCTGCGCTGGTCAGAGCTGATGGGTTGAAATATCTAGATTCAACGATATCTAAGGAAGAAGAGGCAATGTCGGAAAAGAAAGGGGAAGCTAGGGGTATATATGTACATAAATATGTGGAGGTATTATGTAATACCGTAACATCGAGACACTGCAGCCGCTGGCCGGAACGGTACAGTCTCTCCAAGAGAGAATCGAGGCGCTTGAAGCACGCGTTCTGCAAGAGCGACAGCCTGGCGACCACCAGCGTCCCGAAGAATCCGCGACGAAGGAGCGACCCAAGAGAAAAATCGCCAAGCCCAAGCCTGTGATCGACAGACTCGAAGAGCAAGAGGTAACTATGTACGAGGCGGAAAAGGACAAGAGCCACAGTACCTATAACGACTTGGCATCGTAAGATATAATAATAACGCGAGCACTTGCATATGCCGGCCACGTGACAAACGACCCGGAAACCTCAACGGGACTAGTACGCTATCTGGATTCCATCGACGTGAAGCCTATCGATAGAATGGGATGGACAAACTTGGACCTCAAATGATGGGAGGGGCATAGGAAACTGTCAGTCCCGGCCGGTCGACGTGAGGACGCCACTAAGGTCCCCGACTTTCTGCGGCGACATCAGGAAGAGCTGTATGATCTAAGAAGGTGTACTCATCTATGCTAAGCCATAAATGCCCCCAAAGATACCGGACCGGCGAGAATCATGACTAAACAGCTCGAACTAGTAAAGGAGTACACTAGTAAGTATTATGATTTATGGTTGCTAGAGGCAATGCACGGCGGCTGCGGAGGCGAGCGAACCATGACCAACATCCTAGCACAGAAATAACGGCCTCGCTCCCTTCATTGGAAGCGTGACTGTAACATCAGTGTTATTGGTGCACTATGTCTTCAGTTCGCTGTGGATCCAGTGGTACCGTTTGGCTCGGGCAAATGTGGTGAACCCAGAGGTAAAAAACGGACTTCTGCCTGCTGTTGGACTCTGCAGTGGGATAGCCCTCTAGCATATATAATTGGACGTATACATTGTGAGGGAAAGCAATACAAAACAGTAAATTGGTAGTGCTGAAATCTTCCGAGCCAAAAAAGATCATGGGGCCTTGTCGAATCCGCATCTCGCTGGCTCACTCTGAAGGGCCATCACCGCAAGATTTTTCAACGAGAGTGTCACCGCAGCAAGAAGAAGAATCCTCGTGATTCAATATTTCCAGTGTCAAACCTCGGTTCGTTATCATGGTAAGGGCTGACAGAATACTTTGGTAGAGGCACACATCCACTTAAGTTTGAGGCGTAACTTAGTCTGCCACCTGACCCCTTTTAAGTTTTCGTCCGTCCACCAGTGTTTTTAATACCAAAATTGAGTTGATATTTGCGCACAATTTTCCGTGTGCTTATATGTGTCCTTATCTTCCTCTCTCGCTTTCTCGTCTATCTTCTGTCGACGAACCAAGCCTTGCACGGAATTTCTTCTTCCTTACAACAACAATTATTCGTAATCCAATGTCGAGCCATCCCCAGCGGGACGCACATCGGGCATTACACACTCTCCTGCTCAACAAACCATCCCTTCGTCTTCCATCATGACTTCACGTAGTCTGACCGGCGGCCCCAGCGCCCACCTGCAAGTCCCAACGACACAGTACGTTACCGACACGTCCCATTTCCTGTCGCCCACACAGGGGAGCGGCAGCAGCACCCGCGCCCGATATGGCGACAGTAACGGCGACGCCGAGAAGACCACCAACGGTGAGAAAAAGCACCACGTCCGCTTCGATGGGAGCAGCAAGGCCGACGCGCCCGCGCCCTCCTCGCCCAGAATCAACGTCAGCCCGGTCGACTCCAACGTCAACTACAACGTCCCCTCCACCACCACTAACCAGCAGCAGCTCCCACCCCTGGGTCAGGGCGGCGACACGCTGCGTTACCAGCTCAAGCCGTCCGACTGCGGCTCGCAGCTGGGCTTCGCCTGGCCGCTGTGGCGCAAGTGGAGCATCCTGGCGGTCATCTTCCTGGTGCAGGTCTCGATGAACTTCAATACGACTCTCTGTATGTACATTTGAAGTCTCCTATTGCCCTTCTGGCCACGTCTCAGGGGCGGATTCCCTCTTGTAACCTGTGTCAAGACCCCCTGGCCCGGAGACACGCATTTCGACTCTTTGTTTCTCGTCGAAGAGGAGTACTTACTGACCTAGTTTTCTACCAGACTCGAACGCGATCCGCGGCAACGCGGGGACCTACGACGTCGACGTGTCGACGGTGGTCTGGGGCGGCGCTGCCGGGTTTCTTTTGGCCTACGCCTTCGGTTGCGAGCTGTGGGCGCCGTGGTCCGAGGAATACGGCCGCAAGCCCGTTCTGCAGGCGTCTTTGTTCCTGGTCAACATGTTCGGACTGATGACCGGCTTCGCGCCCAACTTCGCGACCCACGCCGCGTGCCGCGTGCTGGGCGGCCTGGCGACGGCGGGCGGCAGCGTCACGCTCGCCGTCATCACGGATATCTTCCGGAGCGACGACGACTGGTACCAGTACGCGACGCTATTCATCGTGCTGTCGTCGGTGGGCGGCTCCATCATCGGTCCCATCGTCGGCGGCTTCGTCGAGGCGCACGTCGAGGACTGGCGCTGGTGCATCTGGGTCCAGGTCATCTTCGGCTTCGCCGTATCGGTCCTGCACTGGCTGACGGTGCCCGAGACGCGGTCGACGGTGCTCATGGACCGCATCGCCAAGAAGAAGCGCAAGAACCCGCAGGCGCCGCTCGACGCGCACACCTACGGCCCGAGCGAGGGGCAGCGCGTCAACTGGCACGAGGTGCTGCAGGTCTGGCTGCGGCCCTTCCGCATGTTCGTCACCGAGCCTATCGTGCTCGCACTATCGCTACTATCCGGGTTCAGCGACGCGCTGATCTTCATGATGATCCAGTCGTTCGCCCTCGTGTACGCTCAGTGGGACTTCGGCCCCGTACAGCTCGGGCTGTCCTTCCTGCCCATCGGCCTAGGTTACCTCATCGGCTACGGGTCCTTCATCCCGGCCATCCGCCGCAACATCGCGCAGCGCCGCCGGGCGCCGCACAACGAGCACGCCCAGTACGAGACGCGCCTGTGGTGGCTGCTGTGGACGGTGCCGCTCCTACCCCTCGGCCTGCTCGTCTTCGCCTTCACGGCCGCGTGGGCGCACCCGCCCGTCCACTGGGTCGGCTCTATGTTCGCGTCGTGCATGATCGGCATCGCCAACTTCGCCATCTACATGGCGACAATCGACTACGTGCTCCGCGCCTACGGCCCCTACGCCGCCTCAGCAACCGGCGGCAACGGCTGGGCGCGCGACTTCCTGGCCGGCCTGCTGACCCCCGCCGCCGTTCCCATGTACCAGAAGCTCGGCATCTTCAAGGCGACCATGATGCTCTTCGCCATCTCGGTCGCCTTCTGCGTCGCCGTGTACGTGGTGTACTGGTACGGCGCCACGCTGCGCACCAGGTCGCCCTTTGCGCAGACGCTCAAGGCTGCCGAGGACGAGGACGAGGATCATGTCGTTATGTTCCTGCCGTCGACGAGTTTGCCGGGAAGTAGAGTCAACTCGCGCCCGGCGACGCGGCATGCTACGCCTGCGGGGTCGCGCAGGGAGAGTCTAGAGTTGGCCCCGATTGAGAATGCGCGGCCCGCTGAGACGGCCGAGGGTGCGGGCAAGGAGAGGAAGGGCTCGTCGAGTGTCACCGAGGTCGAAGGTTGAGCGTGGGATCCCCACTCCGCGCGCGGCCGATTATGTCTCGGAAGAAGGTTAGCCGTTGTCGGATGACTCAGCTTTTGGCAGAGGCTGGGAGTTGGCAGAGGCGTTAGGCGCCAACCGATAGGGTCTTATTACATGTAGTCGCGGAGGGCGGACACGGAAGCCACACTGCGGACGATAGGTGGCGTACAAGACAGTGGAAAGGATGGTTGGAAGGAATATACCTGATACCCGTTTGTTTGATCGCCCATAGATACTTCCTTTGTGATAGTTAGTCCAATCCCATACCGCGCTTGGACTTCTAAATCCAGTCTCGTGTTTCCATTATGTTATTCTCATAGTCCAAATGATATCATCGCTGAAACAGTTTCATTAGTTGCGATTGGTTGGCAAGGCCGCGTAGTGACTGTCCATATTGAGAGGTGACACTTACAAATGGTCGCGCCGTCATATCATTGAAAGAGTGCCGGCAGAATAGCGTCGAAGATGATGAGTACGTACCATTCAAGATGTGTAAATATATACAGCGAAGTGATAATCATAAGTCAGGTCCCCACCCACAACTCCGAGAAAGAAGGAGAAGAAGAATGAAGGTCCGAGCGAATGTAACAAACATAAACGCGGCACACAAGCCTGACAAAAGCCATGCACGGACGAAAACTTTCCATCAGTCCCTGCAAGTCACCGAGACAGTCCCCAAGACGGGGCGCCCGCCCCCGATCCAAATGACCGCCACCATAAAAGCCGCTCACTCCATGTTGTTCACAATGTTTGCGTACATCGAGTTGGGGTAGCTGAGGAGGTTATGTGTCTTGTCAAGGGCGCCGTCGCCGCCCTGCGCCGTGTACGATGTGGCAATGAGACTGCCGCTGTCATTGCGGTCGCCTGACGCCTCCCAGAACATGGAGCCGCCCATGCCCTTAGACTGAAGGTATGCGACCTTGGCCTGGACCATGCTAACAGTGTCGTACGAGATGAGCTCCTTGGTCGCGCTGTCGTAGGAGTAGGTCGCGCCAGACTCCTGGTCGGTGATCTCGGTGCCGGACCGGGGCAGGACCTTGTAGTCCCAGACACCGGCCTCCCAGGAGCCAGCGCCGACGCCCGTGTAGGGCAGTCCGAGACCGTCGGTGGACTCAAAGGAGCGTCCGTACAAGGGCATACCGAGCACGATCTTCGCAGCGGGCACACCACCGGCAACGTAAGCGGCGAAGGCGGCGTCGGTCGAGAACTTGGTGGCGGTGGGATTGCTGCTACTGACATGGAGGTTGGCCTGGTGGCCCGACGTGGTATCCCATGAGCCGGCATAATCGTAAGCCATTAGGTTGAAGTGGTCGAGCAGGGGCGCCATATCGCTCAACTTCAGCTTCTCGTAGTTTACCGGACCGGCAGGCACAGCAGCAGATATGAGGAAGTGGTAGCCCGGAGCGTACTGGGACGCATACGAATCCATCTCTGTGCGAATAGCCTGCAGCAGCGAGACCATGTTGTTGGCTTGGGTGTCGTCCGCAGGGTACTCCCAGTCGATGTCAAGACCGTCAAAACCCCAGTCCTTCATGAGGGTCACAGCGGTCGAGGCAAAGGTCGCTCGTGTCGCGTCTGTGCTGGCGGCGGCAGCGAAGTTCGTAGAATAAGTCCAACCACCGATGCTGAGAAAGACCTTCAACTGCCGGTTGGCCTTCTTCAAAAGGTACAGTTGTTTGATGCAGCCATAGGCGTTGGTACCGACATCGTTCCAAGCTGTCCCATATTGTCAGTTTATGCTGACCAAGAAGTAAGTCTGCGTGGAGCTTTGTCGAATGCCGGGTTCAAGATAGTTGTTGTCGCATTACTTGAACCCAGGGGCTTGAGATGCGGTGGAGTGGTGACTCACAGTCAGTGTCATAGTGCTTCTCAAGATCCGCATATGTGTCAGATGCATAACTGCATCGTTGGTCAGCCAGCTGGACAATGTCACAGGAGGAACCAAATCAACACTTACACAGTCCCGTCAGCCATGACGTTGGCGAACGAGTAGAGCACTTGGTTGATCTGCGATGCTGGCAACTGCGCAGGTTGGTAGTTCCGGCCGTAGATACCCCTGGCAGGGCATTAGCTCGACAGCAACTAGAGTTTCAACAGGGCCACTGACCAGTTGGTGAAGTATACGGTGTTCTGGAAGGTTGAAGCTCGCTTCTCAACCAGAGTGATTGGACCAGCCAACCCGAGCGCTGCTTGGAGCACCAGCGATGTGAGAAGACCCTTGAAGGAGACCATGTTGACGTTGTCTCACGAAGGAATTGGAGGAATTGTAAGAGAAAGTCTGCGAATTGAAGAAAGCTTAATCCACCATTCAAAAAGTTGAAGGAGAGTTGAGACGTCTAGATACTTATACAACCTTCACGCATACCAGAAACCAACGACATGACCCTGCAACCAACCAGGCATAACGTTGCCGATCGGCCAAGTGTGCCTCACGTGGTAAAACAAACCTGCTCGAGAGCGTGTAAGGCCGAGTGATGGATCGTAGGAATGTAGCCTTCAGGGGAAACCGACCATCAACGAGCCTCACGCGTATGTGAGGGTGGCTTCTGACCTCTCGGCCCAGAGTGGCAACGTTGCCAGGGCCTGGATATATCATCTCTTCCGTAGGCACTGGGCCTAGATCCTTTGTAATCTCGCCAGCGCCTGCCGTTCACGTTGGCTGCACAAGGTCATGGGAGGTTTTTGAAGCCATCAGAGCTCAGTCATGTCCATGAGGCGTGAGGGAGCTTAAGGGATGCTCGTGCTCTCCTAGTCCGTAGACGGAAGGTGGACGTTGAAGATGTGTCTTGCATGCGTAGAGCTCGTGCGCCTCGGCAGACGAGACAGCCCTTGACTCAGGGGAAGCTGTTCAAGCCGTCCAATCACGGCTCTGGTCCGAGGAACAGAAGCGCCGCTGTGTGGTAGTGTGCACGGGAAGACTCACCAGCGTCATAATAGCTTATCGCAGGGTCGCATCAGACCGTCACCTTCGGCCCTCATACCCCACCATCACTTGACCTTGTTGGATCTCGCGATCTCTGTCATGTAGAGTAATATGCAGGCAGGCAACCCCCTGGCGTGCTGTGCTGGTGGTAAGACTTCCCGGATCCCATGGCCGAGACATTCTGGGCTGGCTACACACCGCCAAAATCGTTGTAGATGATTCCTGCACAGGTACTAGGTGAGTTGGGTGTCGCGGCCACGTGCGCGGCCAAGCGGAAACTTGTCAGAAATTCTGAGCGCTCCAGCACTTACACCCAATAGGCAGGTTATGACCACCCAACCCCCTCTGCCGAAAACGTCAAGCTCAAAGTGGTTGCAGCAGCTCCATCGCATCCCTTGCCAGCCCTCAGGCCAGCCCATCATCATGGTGTAGAGAGATAAGGTATTTCCATATTGGGGTTATTTCCCGGCGCGACCAATCGCCGGATTTTGACCCATGTGTCAATGAATTTCATTGTCACGTCCGGTGCTGGCCAGGTCATCCACCTTTACTCTGGAGAAACCTAGAATGACAATGACCACTCGGTCCCCTCCAACGCGTTCGACCTCTGGTTGCATCAGACATCACAAGCTTGTTTGCAACGTTACTGAGCCTGGAAGCCTACGGCCGTTGCTCGCACTGCATCGGAACAACTGTCATCCCGCTGGCTCGGAGACGCTGAGATGAAAGTCTCCAGAGTGGAGTGAGGTCTCGAAAGCCGAGTCAGGAGGGGGAAGTAGAGTCAGGGGATGTCACGTGTAGGTCGCGACCGTTCCGGTATCACGCCGTCACGTAACACGCGACGTCCGAACTCGAAGGTCGGAGTTGCGGATCGCGTTTCCTCTTAGAGATAATGGGTCGGGTCGATGAGTTGATGGTAGCACGACAGCCACTGCCAAGGAAGTCTAGGACATTTGAGGCTTTCTTCAATCTGAGGTCTCCAAGGAACCGTGTGAGAGCCGCGTCGCGCGTCGACTTCGAGTTGGGGTGGATTGCGACCGTTGTCACCGGACCGAAGACCAATCCGACACGATACTGCGACCAGGGACGCAGCGAGAGAAGAGGCGTTAGAGCTCGACTTGAACTGAGCTGTAATCTTCACCCTGGCGGAATACTGACGGACAACGGTAACAGTGCTGCCGCGCCATGTGATCAGTGATGCCTTGTAATGATGGATGACATGATGGATGATGGATCGGACGAGAAGAAGCAGGTCACAACTTGACCGGACGGTCCGACGGCTCCAAAGCGACAAGGCCGTGGCTGAAGGATATTTTAATAGTAGAGCTGAAGGATGGAGCCCCTGACGAAGGAATGACAGCCCTGCCCGAAGCTGAAGCTGAAGCGCGTTGAGGCTCTCGGAGATCGACAGATGTCGGATCACCAACATGCGTGGAGTCCTCGTTCCTGCGTCCTGGCGTGCCTGACTCGTTCCTGGCAGCTCGAGAATGTAGGCTGAATGAATGCAACCTTCCCCTACCGCGCAACCAACGCTGTTGCCATGACAAAGGGCTGGCTGCCGTTGGATTGGAGCTATTAAAAGGTCCAATTTGTCGGGTGAGGGGTGAACCGTGAAAGCATTCGTCTGCATAGATCGGCAATGTGTCACCTCGTAGGGGAAGGTCAAGTAATCGGACCGCTTGTACCAGCTGCAGACTGCAGACTGCACCCTGGATTATCTCAGTGCTCAAACCAGAGACTGGCCATTCAGCCACCCTTGGTCGCAACTAGCCACAATTAGCCCCTGACCACCTGGCACTGAGATAAGCCTCGAGGTGGTATCAGCTTTTGTGACGCCGTGTGGCCGTCACCCTTTAATTTCTTTCCTCCTCCAATCCAGGTGAACTTCCTTCCACACAGCCGTCAACCATCCCATTCTATGCTGTCGCCTGGACGTGCGAGTAGATGGCTTACAAGTTCATCATCGCTACTCTCGATCCCGGAGCACTCTTATGTGCCTGAACGTCCACCCGCATCACGATGGGTCATTTCATTCAACCTTCCATATCCCGCCAATCGGGTCAGTGTTGCATCCGTCACAACAGGTTTATGTAGGGAAACAGGACCAACACCCATTATGCGTTTCATCTTCGTTGCCCAATTAGTAACGATACCGAAGTCAGCCGGCTACCGACGCTGCTTGGAGCCCTCTGCTCCCTATGGACGTTTCTCTGAGTTACAACTATCCTGTCGTCCCTGCGTATATCCATTCCGCACATCGCCACCAGTTCTCAAAGGTGAAGACAACGTCCATGCAGGCAGGCACTCCGTGCTGTTCTGCCGCTTGTCCTTGCTCGGCACCTAGACGGACATACGAGTGTACATACCGTATTCCAAAGCTTGTTCGTCGAGCCCCTTTGGTGAACACAGCGCGATCTCCAGCCAAAACCGGCCTTTACGAGCGCCTGGCGATGAACCGTACCTTGATCAGGACGGTAACGGCTTGAGATCAGAGTATGGTATCGCTCAAGGCCATCTGCGCCGTGGGTGCCCTTACCTTGCTCGTTCGTGTTGAAGCCCTCTCGTTTTAGTAAGTCTAGCTGCTCAGTGCCGCCGACAGCCACCTCCCGGCGCCTCGGTACCAATCAACTGTTGTTTCTGCGCAAGACGTTCTGCTGGAGGCAAGCCGGTGCCGTGACGCAGTAACGATGCGTGAACTTGGGCATGGTGACCAATGGCTCCATCTATATTTTGCGGCGTCGGCAAGGGGCGCTACACCAAGCTGTTGTAGTTTGATGATGTCGACGGGAAGATGTTACATCACGGTGGCATTGGATACACAAGGGCGTCGTATCACCCACCTTGACAATCTCCATCTCGGAATCCAGCCTTTCACCTCGTTACCTGCTCTGTTACCCAACTAGAGACACCAAGCCCACGAAGCATCCAATATGCACGCTCACGCCTATCTGCCCTCTTCCTGGCTGCTGGCATCGTCCAAGCCCGCCGCCTTACAAACAGGCTCCCCGCGGTGTCCAACCACGGCAGAAACAGCAGCAGCATCCCGCAGACAAGCTACTCGTCCTCGCTGGCCTTCGACCGCTATGTGGCAGCCCGGTGCAGTCGCCGCCCACGTTATCGGGCCAGTGCATTGACAAGCCGTCGCGCACAAATCGCTGAGCCAGTGCGTGTCCATGATTCCGGCTCCGACATGTGCGTTGCCGACGCACGTATCCCAATTTCGCTTGCTTCGTCCAAGCCCCTCGCGAATTCGCGAGGACGGCGGATAGGTAGTGACCGGCGTGAGGCTAGGCTCCACGAATTTTAGGTTAAAGTTCAAGTATAGTCCCAGACCCGTTTCTAGGCTGAACTCAATCTACTATACTGGATTGGCTTCCGACGATGATGTGAACATTCATCATAACCCCTTTCCCCGCCGCCCAAGTGCCGGGCAAGTCAAGAGAGTAAGCCAAAGCTGCTGCTTCTTCACCATTCACGTACATACCAGAGCTCTCAATCCAACATGGCCGACTGAAGGTCACCTTTGGAGGCAAGAATCAGCTTATTGTCTCCATTCGAGATACGGTATAGTTTGATAGCGACAGTTTGGCATGTGAACACCAACATGCATGTCCACCGAGCCCCATCAGAGGAGCGCGAAAGCTGCCCCGACGACGACGACGTCAACCATCCAGACTCACCCTCCACCTCCTCAACAACCCTCTTTGACTACGCCCACGAAGAAGATGGGCTCCTGTCCAAAGAGTCTCTTCAGACCCTAAAGCAAGACTGGCCCACCAATCTGATTTCCCACTTCCGAACTCGCCGCCGCACTCTGCGTCGCATCCTCCGCCGTCAGCCAGCCAAAGCCATCCTTGTAGCCCTCAAATGCACGCTTCTGGCACTCTGCATCGTCCTCACCATCACACCGCTCTTCTTCCCGTCCTACACACATCCACCCAAGCACTACCACGCCCTCAAATCACGCTGCCAAAGCCAAGGCCACAGCCACCCCTTACCAGGATGCGCCAACGCCTTCGACGAAAACGTCTTCATCAGCGTAAGCCTCTACGACCCCGCCGGCACGCTAGCGCGCAGCCTCTGGGCCGATCGGCTGCTAGAAGTGATCCGGCTGATCGGCCCGGACCGCGTCTACCTAAGCATCTACGAGAACGACAGCGGTCCCGAGGGCGCGTCGGCGCTCGAGAGCCTGAAGACGCGCCTGCGGTGCCGGTACAGCATCGTCAACGACGCGCACGTCGACCCGGCCGACTTCCCGACGCTGACGCTGCCGGACGGGAGTTCGCGCGTCAAGAGGCTGGCGTACCTGTCCGAGCTGCGCAACCGTCCCCTGCGGCCGTTGGACCGAGTCGGCCCGGGCGGGGTGCTAATGCGGTTTGATAAGATCTTGTTCTTGAACGATGTTGCGTTCGATCCGCCTGATGCGGTGCAGTTGCTATTCAGCACGAATGTTGGACGCGATGGGAGGGCGCATTACCTGTCTGCGTGCGCGCTGGACTATTATCAGCCGTTCTTGTTCTACGACTTGTACGCGTCGCGCGACGCTGAGGGGTACTCTATGGGCCTGCCCTTCTTCCCCCTCTTCTCCGGCGAGGGACCGGCAGCGTCGCGGGCAGCGATGCTGGATCAGCGGGACGCGGTCCCGGTCAAGTCCTGCTGGAGCGGCATGGTCGCGATGCAGGCGCAACACGTGCAGCATCTGAACGCGTCGCTGCCGGACCCGCAGTTCCACGACATAGGCCGGCACGTCATCAACCCAAAGAATCCCTCGAGCGTGAGTTCGCCCGTGCGATTCCGGTACGAGCCGGAGCTGTTCTTCGATGCGTGCGAGTGCTGCCTGTTTCAAGCGGACGTGGCTCGCGTGGCCCACACGGTGGGCGACGAGGACCAGGGCATGTTCGTGAACCCTTATGTGCGCGTCGCCTACAAGGAGAGCGTGCTGAGGTGGCTGTCATGGGCCAGGAAGTGGGAGCGGTTGTTTGTAATTCCGCATGCGATAGGGACGTCGCTTGCGTCGCTGCCGACGCACAACCCGCACCGCACCGTCAGGGAGGGCGAGCCGTTCACGGAGGAAGTGTGGATGGGCGAGGGAATGGCTGGGCGTTGGAGATTAGTGCGGCACGTGGCTCGCAATGGGATGTTCTGCGGCGTCAGGGACTTCCAGACGCTCAGGCTTGGTAAGTCGTTGCCCATCGCTGCCCCCATACCTACTATACTGCCCCTTTACAGAGTTGAGATATTGATGAGGTGATGCGCAGGCACGCGAGATGGCGACATCAACTGGGAGAACATCAAGATTCCCACCGGCCAGACGCTGCACCAGCCCACCTGACATGGCGAGGTGCAGCAGCCTGGTGAGAAATGGTCGCCCCTGGTGAGCTGGAGGGAGAGGGAAGAGGCTAAGAAAGCGAGCAACACCGCAGCAATCAGGACCTCACCTACCTCTGGCGTCTAGGTCGCGGTCTGTGCTGCTGCACCACAACGGATGTCTACACGAGATAATGTATAGGAGACGAGTTCCCCGGGAAAAGCAGATGAGGCCCCCCAGAAGAGGGGATGGGTTGCATCAAGAGGAAGAGTAGCACATAATGTAATGTCGAGTGCTTGGATTGATGCGCGAAATTGAATTCGAGCGACGGACTGATAGGACAACATTTCATGGTATGACAGTGCAATTCCCGGACATCTATCGAGGCCGGGAATAAACGCCGCGGTCATGTTGACGGGCTGGAGTTCGAACACCTACTGATTACTCGAAGGCTTCTGCATAGAGTACTCGTGGTCATTGAAACGGCAGACGACAGGGCTGATCACCCTGATACTTGCGAGACTGAACTTAGCTGCGCAGCTTCGCGTCAAGCCGAGCTGCCGATGGCACCCAATCCGAGCTCTACACGACGTGCATTGATCTTCATCCGAGTAGCTACGCTCCCAAGATCGATCACAGCAACGGTAGGTCCTACCTGTCAACTTTCCCCTATTAGACCGTGTATGGGTCCCCTGTCGTCATGCCTTGCATGTTACTGCAATGGGAGCAAAGCGCCGCTGGCCAAGGCGACCGCTTCATATAGCTGGACGCCTGGTCTGGCGAAATCTCCTTCACGCGGGACAGTCAGGGGTATGGATGGTGACAAGAGACACACCCTCGCGCAATACCCCGATCAGGTTTCAGGACGTAGAGGCCATCGAGACAGGAACGCTGATTCAGGCCTTTCTAGTCCCTAGCGAAATTCTTCCTGGATAAACTCGTGAGACTGCACTCCTGGTCGTCTGAAGCACACGTGTTTACCACGATGTCCAGATCCATATAGCCCATTGGTGAAGCCCAGGTTCCTACTTCTCACGAGGCCAAAAGGCCACTGGGTCCGACTGGAAGTTGCTGTGTGGATTGAAGTTAGTCCACGGATGGGCTGTATAAAGCGGTTGAGAAGGCCACGGGGTATTGATACTGCACGGACACCCAGAGCTTTGGACTAGATGAGCTACGGTATCCATAATCCGAGTCTTCGTCTGCGGGAAGGGAACAGTCGACGGAGAGGGGGGTTTGATTAACATGGTTGGTGAGAGGAGAAGGGTCAGATACATCACTGAGCAAGACGGGAGAACTCTGGTGGTGAAGGAACAGGGGAAGTTGTGGAAGCTACTCATAGCTGTGAGCTGTGAGTTGTGAGATTGACAGGAAACTATCAGATGGTCGATCACCAGGAGAAAATGACTTTGCTGCAGGCCATTTGAACTGAGGAATCATGGATGGATAGCCAGCATGGGTTCGTGTGTGCCAAATGGCGGTTGCGTGCGAATCATCCTTCGTAGAACCATTGCGAGAATCGTGACTTTGGCGGTATAACCTACGTGTGTGTCTAGGGCTCTCGAGCCTCGATTGCTGTCAACGAAGAGCGCAGAACTGTTGAGCCCACCGCGATGTCTCGGTCGCAGTCTCTTTCAACAGAGCCTACACGCACTGCTCGATGTCTGGCGACGCATTCGGTCCCAGACTTGTACGAGAAAACGTGGATGGACTCGAGGGGTGTTCAAGATGCCCCGCCGCAGCAAAAGCCTAAACACCATTCCACTACCACGCCTCACTTGCGACCACTGTGAGTCTTCCTCAGTGTGACCTCGACAGGCTAGTGGCCCTGATGACTCTCTGGCCATGGTCTCATCCCCGTGCTGTGTGTGGAAATCCGGCGTGAAGCCAGATGGGTTCTCTGGCCATTTTTCAGCGACCAGAGGTGTCGCAGAGTTTGTCGTGGGGCTGGCCCGCGCAAAAACCTCGACGACCGAAACCGCATCCGGTACAGCAAGTCAGAACCTACCATGCAGAGGGCTCATAGCAGTCGTATTGATCGAATTTTGAGATACCCGCAGAGCATGAGATGGATTGACTGCGTATCGGTCTCATTGGAAAGACAACATTGCAGAGGTTTGTTGAGGTGGCGGTGTGGGCGCATGATGGATCGAGTACAAGGTTAATTAATCTGATCTCATTGCCGATAGATAACGGCCTCGAGTGTTCTCTCGATTGAAGATCAGACACACGATCCAAGCCGGGAAGTGAATCCTCGGCCGAGGTCGAATCATCGCGTTTCCTTTGTCGGACCACCCGGCAAACCACTGCCCTCCGAGGCGCGCGGCAGTGCTCCCACCATCAAGTAGGTGAACGAAGGTGGGATCTGAAAGCATTGCATTGCTAGGCAGATAGTAGTGCAATAAGTCTGCATAGGGCGCCTAATGGACGGAGTACTCCTACTCTGAAACTAAAGCTGGCTTATTATCACGAGAAAGTAGCGGAGAATATGAGTTGGAAAGCAGAGATAAGGAGGTAGATTGCGCGCTGGCAAGGTGGAATAAGGGGGAGGGGAGGATAGTGCATCAGACACGCGCGTGTTATCGTCCTTTCCTGTGAGGTTGCTGCACAAACTCATCCTGCCTCCAGTCCAGCCCAGCCTCTTTGTTTTCCAAGGTGTGTGATCTGTCAGGTAAGGTAGGGTAGGGCAGGGCAAGAAACAAGACGCAATTATTACTGTTGGTCCACGGCAACGGATGGATGTTGGATGTTTGGTGGCATCAACATGGAAGAGAAAGACTTATGGCAGGACGGAAGTCAAGTCGATCTCTAGCAGATGCAGGGCACAATAGCCTGGCATGTCCCGCAGTTTAGCGACCGGCTAGCTAGAACGTCACATGGCACGTGTGCTGTGGTGCTGTAGAACTACCTAAAACTGTAGAACTGCCCTCCAGGTTGTCTGCATATGGCAGCAGACCCTGGGCGCATTGGCTCGGGACTGGTGGGGACTGGGGGACTGGGACGGCGGCGTCGCAGCTGGAGGTCTGGAGGTGCAGGTGGGATCAACGGACACGCGCGACAAGACCGGCGCACACACACCACACCTTCGCCGCCCTCCTCCTCTTTCCTCTTATTATTCCTCCCACCTCCTCCCCGTCCACCTCCTCTCCCCTTCTACCTTTACAACTTTTCCCAATTTTTCCAACTGTTCAAGCTGTGTGACCAAGTAATCGCCGATATCCAACAATCAGATCTGTAATTATTCGAGTTCGAGAGCTTGAAACGACAGTACCGTCGCATTCCACCAACAACCCCCCAATTGTGAGCTGCCCGTCGCCCACTCCCATCTCCCGGTCGCATTCTGTTTCGCGTCCACATCGTGCGTCGCAACACATGTCGCGCACCTTCACTATCCAAACTACATCGTAGTCTAACATTTCGTATAGTTTTCATCCCCCTTCCGACCAGAAATCATTTCCAAGATGCCTCGCGAAGGAACCCGATCTGCCACCGGCAACTCCAAGCCGCGTGTCTTCAACCAAGTCGACACCGAGCCCACCATCAAGCGCACCACCAAGCCCAAGACCACCAAGACCGCTTCCGACGTGGTTGCTTCCAACGCAAAGGCCGCAAAGCCTGTCGGCGTGACCAAGAGCAAGCCCGCTCCCAAGAAGAACGGTGTTGCTGCCAAGGTACGTGGATACTGCGCCTCTTGTTGTTTTACAACCCTTCTTGACATCCTTGCGATCAATATGTCAGTCGAGAGAAGTGCACGACGCGCAGGCTTCTGCGATGCTGGCTGGCCATGTTGCGCATAAAGCAGCGCGTCTTGTCGCGCTTTTCGCTTGTGTTGATCCCAAGCAAGCCCTTATTACACCCACTATAGTGGGCATGCCCTCGCGATAGCGCGTCTACCACGGCGCTTCGGATACACCACGCGCACACAATGACACAGTTCAATATGCTAACAATCCTGACAGACCAAGGCTACCACCAAGAAGGTCGAGACCAAGGCCAAGAAGGTACAATAGTCGGCATAACATACCGGACACCCTCCATACTGACACGTCATCCAGGCTGTTGGCAGACCCAAGGCTGCTGCCAAATAGGCGCCTCTAGCATCAGTCCTGCTGTCCTCGTAGTGGCTAAGACTCATTTGCTGTCTGGTTCAGGGTAAACTGAAGGCGGAACCAACATCTCTACTGAAAACCTGCCGGTAATCTGGAATATGGAGTAGGGCGATGTTTCAGTTGGCTGGGTCATGTGGAAGGGTGCCAGTTCTTGGCATGAAATGCTTCCCGAGGCCGGGTACACATGAGCTTCGGCCCACGTGTGTCATGGTCACATGGTTCAGCACAACCTTCGGTCAATGGTCACCATCTTTCGCTCTTGTTCTTCACGCACAACCACCAACCACCACCACCCCATGATACCTCTCTGTCGTTTCTTTGGTAGGATACCTCTCGATTATCGCGATCGTATTGTTTGGCGTACCTGGAGGAAGGTTCACGAGGGGAATGATTGATTGAAAATGCATGCTCCTTGTATTTAACGTGTTGGTCGTATACGGGTGACTACCGAAAATGGATGTACATCTGTCATCACTGCCGCCTTGCTCACCATGAAGAGTTGACTCCCCTATAAGCAATTTTCTTCTCGGACACCTTCACCTTAGCAATGCTTTGCGTATCCCACACCAAGGTCGACCGAGAGGCTTCGATGTCCGTTTCACATCAAGTTCCTTCTAACACCCCTCCCTGCAACTTTCCCCCAAACCGCCACCGCTCACAGAGCCCTCTGGGCACAGGAGGCTGCCCTGACTTCAATCCTTGTTATGCCTCCTCGGAGACAAGCAAAGCCAAGAAAGACCAGGACGAACACCACATAGTATGATGCTTCCCTAAGCGCTCGTCCCTGATATCCGACAAAGAGCTACTGCCCCAGTAACAAAGTCTTCAGCTAGGGTCCCTGCGCAATAGGTTTCATATGGACCAAGATTGCCTTCTTTGCGATCTGGTTCTTGGATATGATATTCAATGAAAACACGCAATCACACACATCTCTCTGGACAACGCAAAGGCTTCCCAGCCATGGGGAGGTTCTGAAGAAACTCTATACCCATATGCTCTCCTCCTTCATCTTCGTATATAACGTCTCGTGGACGATCACAACCTTCAAGAGAACGAATCGAGCCCGGCATTTGCTGCGCTCCTTTTTTCTCCAAAGGAGTCAGCCACACTGTCGTAAACTCTGACTAGCCAGAATCATGCTGTCTTCTCAACTGCTCCGTACATCTATGTTCTCCGCAGTTCCCGAGCCACGTCAATTTGGCATTCAGCAGGGACCTTTCCAAGGAGATGGAGACTTTGCAGTAAGTCATACTACAGACATATCTAGGGGTCCAGGCTGACTTGGCCAAAATGGTCATCTTTTCGCCTGCTTGCTGTGCGAACAGCTCATGGTGATCTTCATCGAGTCCGTACTCCAAGGACACGGCTGCATACAGAGATTTAGCCTCTGGTTTCGTGTCATGGTGGTATTTCATATGTTGAAGAATATTTGTTATGGGTGTAGCTCCGCGGTGAGAGGGTAATTGAACCGCTGCCGCGTTTGTACCAAATAATCCAGAGATAACATGCGGCGGTTTATGTCATCAGTGTACAACGAACATCCGTTATTTGGACCCAAATCATGCAAAACCGCTTGCCTACCACTCCTGAAACTCATCGAGATGATCGCCAGGACACTCCGTCCGAAAGACCGCCATCGTCTCATCCCACAGCCTCTTCTGCGCTGCCTTGCCGTCCGCCGACAGCACGAAGTTCGAAACCCTATGACCAAACCAATCAGCAAAACCAATTACAAAATTCCCGTGTCCCAACTCCAGACCAAACGAAGGGATTAAAAGGTAGGTAAAACTCACGGCTTAACCTTCTGCTCACTAACATAGCCCCCATGACTCCCCTCATGCCTCACCACCGCATCAACAAGACAATGCCCCCCCTGCACCGCCGAATACGCCCCCCACCGACTCGCCGCCCGCGTCGCCGGGTCCGCGCGGTGGAACTCGCTGACGCACCACCCGGGGTTCAGCACATTAACCACGACATCCGCGCCATCGACGCGCGCCGCCAGCTCGCGCACCCACAGCACGAGCAGCAGCTTCGACAGACAATACCGGTCCTGGCTGCCCGCCTTGAACGAAGCCCGGTCGTCGAGCCATGGGATGATGGCGGGTTTGGCCACGTCGCTCACCGGCGCGTAGAAGAACACGCTCGAGCCGGTGATGCTCATGCGACCCGGGCGGCCGGTGCGCCGCGCCGTGCGCCGGAGGGGGTCCAGGAGCAGGAGAGAGAGCAGCGCCGTGGCGAGGTGGTTGGTCTGGACGTGGGCCTCGTCTGTAGGAATCAGTTGGGGTCAGCGATTACTTCTTACTGGGAAGCGCCGAAAAAAACACCCTTTTTCAGCAATTCCTGAAATAACTTACGTCCTGTCGACGCCGTCGTGTACTCCAGCCTCTTCACCCCCGCATTCAACAGCACGAAATCCAGCCTCCCAACCCCATCCCCATCCCCATCACCAAACGCATCCCGCGCCCGCCGCGCAAACATCACAACGCTGCCCCAGTCGTCCTGGTCCAGCGGCCAGACCTCGACGGCGCACCCGGGACTCTCAGATATAATAGAAGCGGCGGCGGCGGCGCCCTTGGAGACGCTGCGCACGCCGAGGATCAGACGCGAGAGCCCGTGTGATGCGAGCTCGCGCGCGGCGGCGAGGCCGAGACCCGTGTTGGAGCCCGTGATCAGCGCCTTTTGGCCGGATAGGTTGGTGGAAGTGGGCAGCGGGGCGGGGCGGAAGGTTAGTTGGTGGTAGAACATTGATAGGTAGCCGTATGTGGCGGACATGGTGGCGGTGGTGGTGGGATCAGGAGGTTAGGTGAGGGTTGGGGGTTATGGTTGGTCTTCAGCGACTCTGTCGAGGTTTGCGAGAGCGCACATGGTGCAGAGTCCTCTGTGTACGCCTCTATATAACTTCATATCTTCTTGTATGCGGACAGGACGGCCAACATACGGCGACTGTTGGCCGTCGCCGCATTCCCGTCATATCTGCATTTGGTTGTAGTCGGGGTCGTGGTTGGGCCGGTCGGCACAGCTCGTTCGGAGTTAGTCGCTACTGTGTTTGGTGTCGGGTGAAGCGCGCCTCTTTGGATCTTCTTCCTCAAGGACCTTTGTTCCCATTGAAATCCTGTCTCGGCGGGAACCGGCTTAATAGTTGATAAGAATCAGTTACGTCCTCAGACTGCGCCATTCGTGTTGTGGCGGCACGAATCATGCGAAGACAGTCGAGCTCGAATGGGATACTCTTAAGTCCGACATCGTGTCCGTCTCCTGTGCCAGTGATAGGGGTTACCCCGTCTGCCCGTTTGACGGCCTGCTCCGCAAGGACAGCCGATCTTCTCGATGCTCAGTCGAGCTGCCACATATTACGAGGTATCAACCAGCGCCATGTAGACATGGCGAAGTATGGCTCCGGAACGTTACCGGAAATGAGCACGATGATTTGCAATGCGACAACGTGGCAACGTGGCAAGTAGGCATATGTATGTTAAGGGTGAAGGCAAAACAAGCATGACGAAGGCTCCCAGAAGTTGGTATTGATCCAGAAACCCACAAGATCGACTTCGACGATTGATCAATTGACCTATTGACTTAACCTTGCCTGAATAACAAGGCTATGACCATACAAAAATAACCAATGCTTGCCGTGCTATGCGGTAATATGCAAACGCTATTGTAGGTGTCCCAAATACGCCTTCCCATGCTGACCAGCGCCGGCATGCCAATGCACCACACGATCTAAATAATCGCCGACATGATTTCTGCCATAACAACAGTTATGGACTGCCAAAGGGAGTAAAGAGAAAAGCTCCGAATCGGAACTTAGAACAGACCGAAAAGTTCTATTTCAGGGCGCGTTCCGCTCTCATCGCGAACCACGCGGCCACGAACAACAAACCACAAGCAGCCAACATGAAGTCTGCCGTAAAGCCAATCACGCCGCGCCACCGCGCCTCGCTGGCGTCGCCCAAGACCACGCCCGCGATCGGGTTCCCAACCAGCAGCGCGATGCCGGCCGCGAAGCAGCACATGCCAAGCCGCGTGCCGACCTTGCTCATGTCGTGCGTGAAGCGGAATGTGGCGACCGGCTGCATGCTAACGACACCGCCGGAGATGATGCCGTAGAGCACAGTGAAGGCGGCCAGCCCGCCGAAGTCGCGGATGCCCAGCCAGCCGAAGGCCAGCACGCTGCACCCGAGCGCGCTGAAGGCCATGATGAGACACGGCTGGCCCGTCTTGTCGGCGAGGTACGGCGGGGCGACGCGGCCGACGATGCTGCCGGCGTTCATCAGCGTGACCATGTACGAGGACGAGAAGCCGGTCGGCACGGAGCGGTGGTCGAGCGCGAAGAGCTCGATGTAGAAGAAGGGGATGTACAGCGCCATGAAGGCGCACACGCAACCCGCTAGGAAGGTCATGAATGTCATGTCGCGGAAGGCGCCCGTGTCTACCAATGCTCGGTGGTGTTTAGACGGGGGCAGTCTGGTGCGCATGAAGGTGAGGGGCACGATGGCGATGCCGAGCAGGATGAAGGCGATGACCCTCGTGGCCCAGGGTGCGCCGATCTTGGGTTGCAGCTGGCTAAAGACGATGGGCAGCACGATGCCAGCGACGGGCGATCCCATCGAAGATAAGCCTGTCGCCAGGGCGCGTCTGCGCGAAAAGTACTGCGACATGATGGCCGTGCAGGGCAGGAACACGATCCCGCACCCCGTGCCGATGCACAGGCCCTGCGCCAAAACGATCTGCCAGAACTCGGTGCACAGCGACGTCATGAACTGACCGAATATGACGAGGAACAAGCCGGTGCAAAGCAGATGGCGGAAGTAACCCGCGTCGAAGAGCGGCCCAGAGATCAGTCCTCCGCACAGGAGTAGACAGCCTTGGATCGAGCCGACCCAGGAGATACTGGATGACGAGACGGTGGTCAGGGTCCGCTCATAGTACGTCTGGTAGACGCCAAACGTGTTGACCAGACCGAAGGTGCAAAACAAGACACACCAACTGCCTACGACCTGTGTCCAGGCCGCCAGGCCACCGTCGGGCGGAGGCGTAGGCGCGCCGAGTGCTTTCGTATCATCGGATGGAACACCGGTAGGTGTCGAGGTGCCCGTGTCTGTCGAAAAACCCGCGCGGGCGACCGGTTCCGTGTGTCTCGTTTTCTTGGACATCGTCCAGAGCTACGTTGTCCGGCGCTGAACGACGGGAGGAGATATGTTTGCCGGCCTAGCCTTGGTGATGACCGCTTGCGACCGCTTAGGCGACGGGCAGTCAGGACGCCCGGCCTTTTATCAAAGCCGGAGGCGCTCGACGACGGGACCATGATAGGCCATAGTTGCCGAACGACTTTCCGGCGAAGAAGAATGCCAAGGGTGGAACTGGGAGCCTGGCATGCCTGAGACCGTCTGAGCCTCAAGGGTCAAGACCCATCAGCCTTACGGACCTCCGTTCCAATCAGGAGGGCGCTTTAGGCCCTGTTGTGGCATTCGAATCAGCTCGGTCGCCGCCGGACAGATTTCTAGAAAGATGGTACGATTGTGACATATGGGTAGCGTGGAGGCTTGAATGGCCCGGCAAATTGCAGTAACGTTAGAAAACTACCCTCCGATCCCTTGAACTCTACCCTTCTAACTGCATTTGGAAGCCATCCCGACGATTTAATTGGCTGCTCACCACCTACTACATCGCAAGTACTTTAGTTTGCGTGCGTTTCCCACCCAACTAGAAGTACCTAACATGACTTCACCGGGTAACCACGTGGTTAGGATTAGGATTAGGGTTAGTGGTTAAGATTAGTGGTTAGGGTTAGCCGGGGGTTTGGGGGGCGGTGCGAGCCCCCTATCTGTGAATGTATCCTTGAAAAGCGCATAGTGGTGACGATGGTAGAAGTGGTGGTGATGTTGAGAATTAGTGGGTTGCGTAGCTGGATGCACGGGCTGTGATTGGCTGATTTGGAGGTAGGTTTTTACGGATCGGAGGGTAGTTTTATAAAGGTACTGAGCAAAATGAGGGCCGCGATAGCCCCGGCCCCCTTTCCTTATCTGATAGGGGAAATAATCCCACGACTATCCTTAGGGCGGTTTATAGATGACCTTTCAACGTTATCCCACGTGGAGACACATCGGCCAAGGGGCTGGAGAATTGGATAAGGCATTCCCTGAAGCCAGAATATAAATCGTCCTAGATAACCTTCAATCTTCATCAGCACTCAATAGGATGTGCTCACTTCTTCAGGCATTCTGGTTGTACTCGCCTCCCTATGACGAGCTTACCTGCCCATAGCATCGCTCGCCCTGAGATGAACTGACTCGCCGGCGAGTCACCGCTGATCTCCGTCGAACTCAACGGATGCTCAATAAAGCCCTGGATGAATCCAGTGAATGAATCCAGGATACAAGCGAGGAGAACAATTACATCTTTGGTGTCGCGACGATGAGCCACTCGACTCTCGGGGGGTTGGCGGAGTTCAGCGGAATTCGGCGGAATTCGGCGGAGTTTGGCGGAGTTTGGCGGAGTTTGGCGATGTGGCGGCCAATAAGGGTGAGCTCAGCGCCCGTGGACTTGCGGAGCAGCCATTGCCCCCTTTCCGACGTCTACCGTTAGGAGTGCCGCGGACGCAGATGATCAAAGCCACCTTGGTTTCCACTCGCATACACTCTGGCCCGTTGAAAGGGAAGACGGAATCTCGCAGTTGGCGGACTTGTTAGTAGGTACGGCTGACTGAGCTTCCGACATGGTCTTTTCCGACGCGTCTGCGTGAATAGTCCTCGATGAAAGGCCGCAATTCCACATGCCGATATAAGTAGCAAGGAGGTTTGGGTAATTAGCTTCTTTTTTTGGAGTCTCCTCACTATTCCACTGCTTGCTTGCGCGCACGCCGGGCTTTTATACAGGATATCCATCATAACTCTTCGCTTCTTTCCTGACCCTTTACGCTGCCAACGAGACCCATCTCGCTTCATCCACCATGTCATCATCCAGAAAACTCACGATCCTCATAACTGGCTGCTCGCCGGGTGGCACGGGCGCGGCGCTTGCGGTGACCTTCCACGCAGCCGGACATCACGTCTACGCCACGGCGCGCAACCCATCCAAGCTGTCCTCGCTCGCGTCACAGGGTATCGAAACCCTGCCTCTGGACGTGACATCAGCAGCCTCAATCGCATCTGCCGTCGACGTCGTGACGAAGTCTCTCTCCGAGAAGTCAACACCCACAGACGCAGCTGTCTCAGGGAGGCTAGATATGCTCATCAACAACGCCGGTGGCCACTACACAACCCCCCTCGCGGACGCATCCCTGGACTCGGCAAAAGCTCTCTTTGACCTCAACGTGTGGGCGCAACTCGCTGTCACACAAGCTTTCCTGCCTTTACTACTACGTTCTGCCTCCTCCCCTACCTCCTCCACCGCCAGTGGCCCCGCCACCCCGATGATAGTAAACCACACCTCCGTCGGGTCCATGACTCCCATGCCATTCCAGGGCCTCGTAAGTAAATTACCCTCATTCACATTCCCCAAACTGTTATTAACCCCAATCCTTCTAGTACAGCGCCTCCAAGGCCGCCCTAGCCCGCCTCTCCGACAGCATGCGGCAAGAGCTCTCCTGCCTCGGGATCCGCGTGGTCGAGCTCAAGACCGCCGGCGTGCGCACCAATTTCATCCGCAACAGCAACACCAACAACGTCGAGGGCCGGGCGTTGAAGTTGCCCGATGGGTCGCTCTACGAGCCCGCGCGCGAGCTTGTGCAGGGGATTATGAGCCAGGAACAGCATGCCGAAACGGGGATTTCGGCGGAGCAGTGGGCGGAGGGCGTGGTAGGCGATTTGATGAGGCGGAGTCCGCCGCCGGTCATCTGGAGGGGTGAGAACGCGCTGCTGGCTAGGGTGGCGAGTGTGTTGCCGGCTTGGGTGTTTGAGGGGGTGTTGAAGAGGATGATGGGGATGGATGAGGTGGAGAAGATCATGAGGGAGAGTAGGAGGTGATTTGGGGCTTTTGGTGTTCTTGTATGTAGTAGGATATGCGCTGGGTATGGTTGTGTTATGAGGTTCATACGCATCCGCATCTTCAGCCAGCCCTTCTTCAACATTTCCCTTGCTTGTCTGCATTGCTCTCAGGACAATATTCGTATGATCCCAGCCCACCATAAACACCCTGTTCTGCCGAAGGCTCTGGTGGCAGACTGTTCGAAGTAGAAGCCATGAACGCAGGTGAAATTCACGCAGTGATACGGCTTCACCTCCCATCCTGCCGACCACACATACTTCCATCTTCAACCGCGACATCAGAACCATCCCAAACTCGGAATGAAGCTGACAACATTGCCTTCCCCCCTATTCAATGTTAGTGCCACGAAACTCTACTTTTGTGTGGAGGATTGCCACAGGAAATACCATACCTCTTCTCGGTTGGTATCTCATGTTGAGCCTCAGCAGGACTAAAGTACTGAAAGAACTGTCGGTGGTTCATAGCCAGCCTCAGATTTTCCGGCGGCTGTCCAAGCGCCAGAGGATTCTCCCGAGCCATGGTCTTCAACCGCTCAATCGACTGCGAGTAGTCTTGTCTTCCGTAATCGTACAGTCTCCCGTACTCATCCAGGCGTCTCTTGAGAGCCGCAATGACTTTGCGTATAACCTCGTACTCGCCCATAGTCTCCGAAGTCCGTTCTTCCGTCTCCATAAGTCGATGGACCGCCTCGATATACGGATGCAAATTCTTTCTGATTTTGTGAATCTTGTTTTGGATGTTCTTGCTGGCCCACTCGCGATTTCCGATCGATGCCGACTGCTCCATCCTCTCGTTGCTGCACTCGAGTAGCTCCTGAAGCTGGTCGTTCGTGGGACCTGGGTCTAGAGCTTCACCTTCGGCCGGCCTCCACCAAGTCCGGTAGTCGGTCAGGGCGCCGCGGAGCTCCTGTGTCAACCAGCCGTGGATCTGCCCCCATTGGGCCATGTTGCTCGGACCGTGTTCCGGCTTCCAGTACTGGTAGGCTACATGTATCGGCTTGCCGTACCTTTGGAGCCCCAGCTCGGTGAGGGAGGGGCGCGGATGATGTTATTCTGCAGCGCGGGTTTCACTGTGTCGTGTATGTACTTGATCGCCCATTGTAGGTTTTTAATGATCTCGTATGCCTCTTCGGCGTCGGGGCAGGGAGTCTCCAGGTCGTGGAAGCGCAGGAAGTCCTCTATCTGGGATGTTATGTTGTCGCACTCATCCCAAAGTTCTTCGAGCTCCATCCGCGTTGGCGGGCGATCGGGATTGAGACCGGCAACCTCGGGCATTCCAGGATTTCTGGTCGACATACTTGCAACAAGCTCGCCTGAGCTGTTTTGGGCCGTATCCGATTGAAGCTGGGCTGCGGAGCGATTAACGGAGTGTGAAGACTTCTAGTCAGCGGGGTGTGAGGTTTCGACCATCTTTGTGCTCTGACCTTTGTCTTCGCCATCGGTCGTAGAAGAAAGCCAATGGCCCTGGCTGTTGGTTATTGTGGATTTATGTCGCCCTTCAACTGGCTCTTTGTACTTCGTCTTTGTTCCCGTCATCCTCCATGAGTAGGACCCGCAGAGAGCAATGTCCTCATTGAATACGTTGGAGCTACGGCAACGACGGAAAATGTGTATGTGTACAAGACTCCAAGTTTCGTATTGTGGTGATGATGGCGTGATGCTGGAGTAGAAGGCATAGGCTTATCGTTCAAGTATCAGGTGGAGGTGTTCGGCTTCGCTGAAAAGGGGCTGCGACCGGCTATCCTCAAGACCGTTGTGGTCTGTGCGGCATCGACACGCCATCTGATTACAAAGCTCCTAGGCGGCCGATGACTTGAAAACGAGGTCGATGCCATCCCCTTGAGCGCACCTAGATGCTGCCTAGCGCAAGGACCACTCCAGATCCTCCTGTGAGCCTAGAATCGCGGATACGACGTAAGTTGGCCACGATTTCCATCTCTCTTGAAGTTTAAAGCCGCTCGTGCTTCTGAAGTGGTAGCATAACTGGATTAGCGGTTCCTGAGTTACCAAGACATATCGCTCTTGTAGGCTACCATTGAATATCAGCCAGGATGCAGCACATGTCGCTGTCTTGATGTGTGAAACACGTTGTATTGATTGTCATTCATTCCATTCAGTACCTATAGTCTGTAAAGTCACCAACCCCAAAATCTGGACATCTAGCCTTTCGTGCCATAGCAGAGATCTCCCTCTGCCTCTGGCCAGCCAATGTGAACCTATATGGAAAGAATGTGTAATGACCGGCCTTCCATCATTCAACAGCCAAGAAACCCAACGTATGAGTAGTAGCAAGGGACTGGTCAAATCAAGTCACCTTCCTCTTTCTCATGATGAGCTTCGCGCCGGGGTCCATGGACACGTCCTTGTCTGCACACATGGTCTTCGGCATCGACTTGCCCTCTGGGTACTTGAAGTCGAATTCGGTGATCAGCCGTGAGAGCAGTTGATTGATCTCTGCAACGCCGAGAAACTTCCCTAGGCACTTCAGAAGCAACATCGAGTCAGCAAACGCCCACGAGGCCGGGTTTCTAGAGCCATAAGAAAGCTCTTCCGAACGGTCAACGGGGCGAAGAGCCTGTTCTTGCTTCCGGACGAAGGACAGAGCGGATCGGGAACCATGAAGGAATCACTTATTGCTTGACTTCCGTATCCAAACGTCAGGTGATTGTTGATGTCGGTCAGGGCAGCCAGGTTCCTGTCGTGATAAGCGGGTGACTCTTGTCGCCTGCGGTAACTACGCTTGGGGTCGAAGGTGAAAGGGTCTGGTATGACATCCGGATCCATCTGGTGCTCGGTGCTTGCGAATGCAATTCTGCACCCCTTAGGGATGTGCGTCTCATCTTTCAGGTATACGGCTGCAGTGCCACTCTTTGCGGGCTCCCTGCTACTGTCAGAGTGTGCTTTAGACTAGGGAAAATTAAAAGTGCTGGGTGGTTTGCCTACAGAGAATCGACGGGTGAACTCTGAAGCATTCTAGCAAAAATGAGTCCATTCGTTCCAGCCGTGGGTGCCACCTCTTAATGCCGACCTCCGAAGCATTCCCTGTTTGCTTCCCGACTTCTTCGATCTCGTCCCTAAGGATGGGAAACCACTCTGGGTGTGCGCAAAGCTCGAAGAGGAAGCTGGCCGTGTTTGAGGACGTAGTATGGATACTTGCGAGCGACATGATGAGTTGGGTTTTGCCATCTCAGCACACTGCACCTCCTCCTACAAGCCATTCTCTAGCATCCAGTCCAGGACGGTGTCATCCTCATCTACTGCTTCGCTCCTTTCCCTTCTCTGCGAAGCACCGAAATACCTTTTCATCTTGGCTGCCACGTGGTCCAACTCCTTGGATGCTCCTTCCAGGTACCTGGACAGTTCTGGTGCCAGCTCGCGCTTCATAACGTGAGCATGGAGATCAAATGGCCTGGGAAACTGCGTGCCGTGTAACATGCATCTGGTCAGGTGTGTGTGGCGCAGCGTCTGGAACCAGGAATCCAACCAACACTACCCGCACCTGTGGAGGAAGCAACAGCAGTAGCGACAACCTTGCCGCTAAGAAGGATCAACTGTTTGAGATCTCTCAGTACGAGCGCATTTGTGCAGAGGAGGGACTAGAGGGGCACTCGACAGAGGCGAGCTCGGTGGAAGCGAGGGCGAGGAAGGCTCGCCAGATGGAAGTTTGGCGCCTGTTTTACAGCGTGACGGATCTTTTCGGGCAGATCTATGTCCTCCGTGACATCGGAAGCCGCTTGACGGTCGGAACAGCGGGTTAGATAATCATCTTGGTTTCCAAGTTTCCATTGTAGCAACTAAATGGTATATGTCGAACAGCGTGTATGATGGTGCATATGGTTGAAAACGTGTATTTTGTTGATTCCATGTATGCGTGTGTGTGTGCTTGGAAGGAGCTGTTGTTGTGGGCCAAGTGACCCGAAATTTCCCTATTGGGCCCTGTTTGGTGCACCGCCACCTCCCTAAACGCCACTGTGGCTTGCGCGCCATTCAACAGTATAGCTATGCGAGCTGCATGTCCTAGTGCTCTCCCAAATGCAATTTTTTTTTGAACCGGCATAGCCGCCAATTCACTACGTCTCTGCTTGTAAGTCGATGCGTTTCTTCTCGACTAAGTGACCACGATGCACTAATTCCATGAGTCCCTGCGTGGCGGCATGGAATGGGGAGTATGGAGTAGCCAAACGAAACGGTGCTTGCTCTCCACCTCCAGCGAAACCTCGATATTCCGAGTGTTAGTTCCAGTTGGAGGAAATCAAAGGAGTCAAGGTCAAATGGTGGCGGGATCTTGTATTGTACTGTGGGTGGAGAACACCGTTGAGTAAAGGCCGACTGTGGTAGCGCCACAGGAGTTGATAGACGCCTTGAAAAATTCGGTGTTGCCAGTACCTAGGCAGCTGCATGATTTGCAAAAGAGAGCTGTGTGGAACTGTCAGTATAGAGTGTGACAATCAGGCCTGCAGCTGCGCTGGTCAGGGCTGATGGGTTGAAATATCTAGATTCAACGATATCTAAGGAAGAAGAGGCAAGATCGGAAGAGAACGGGGAAGCTAGGGGTATATATGTACATAAATATGTGGAGGTATTATGTAATACCGTAACATAGAGGAGAAAATTGGAAAACTCTCTGGGTTGTACACCGAGTGACTTTGCGCTCTTGGCACGGTTTGGGCAGAGAAATCAAGTATGGAGCGGCCGTGAACCTTTACGTTCAGGCCATGTATGGAGATATTGATTAACGCCCGACCCAAGAGCCCAGGGAATTCTCACAGTGCCCTTCTACAGGCGTTGTGGCGTCGGTTGGTGCAGTCATGATGTTGTATCGCCTGGCTTTTTAACATGAAGAGCCGGGTGCAGACTTTCTCAAGTAGGTATGTTTGAGTAAGTATATGTACTTAAGAAGCAAGGGATGGAGTGCTTGATGGTTTAGTGCACGGAATGTGAACATATATGTTAATTGGTACGTTCCCCAAACAATGGCCAATGGAAAACAGCAAGTGGTGATTTTAAGCGCGCCACTGCGAACAACAACCAAGTTCTCACGTTGCGCACACACCTGCTCGGTCACCTTGTTCTTACAACCACCACGAGGCACAGGTCGGATCATTCGGTACGAACATATACCTTCAATTCACAAGCACCTACTCTGGATATGACCTGACCAGAGGATATATATCTAGGTACCAAGACTGCGCACCTGCCGCCGGCTCAAGACCAACGCGCCCACCGCGTCTACCGCGTCCGTCGACCTCGATTACGCGTCTTTCCCAACGCCCACCGCATCTGTTGACCTCAATCACGCGTCTTTCCCAACATCGACCTCAACCTCGACCTTCACCTCAACCTTGACGTCGGCCTCAAACTCCACCTTGAATCTTCACCTTCTCTGCTGATTCATCTGAACACTACCATCCGAGAATTGCCACGAAGCAGCCATCCGACACCATGTCTGGCTTCCGATTTTGGTGGCAACCCAAGGATCGGGAGTTCCAACATTTCCCGCGGCTGCCATGGGAACTCCAAGACCGGATTTGGGAGCACGCCATTAAGGAAGAGAGCGAGCAACGCATTATGATCATCGCAAGCCACGTGCGACGTCTCATGCCCAGCCCATGGCTCGTATCTTCGTTTCTGCTTGTCGACAGGCGGTCGAGAGGAAGAGCACTAGCCAAGTATCCCGTTGTGCTGGAAGTATTCAATTCCCCAGTCCCAAAAGAAGCTTTCAACAAAGACTTCTCCTCCAGTGTCGATCCTAGCGACATTGAATCAAAGCACGACGAGTTCACACGTCATACATACAAGTATGGCCTACCCCGTGGCAGAGTGTACCTCAATCTTCACAGCGGCATATGCATCTACACGCCAACGCCCTCTTACGAGTGGTGCCGCAAAGTTCATCAAGACTTCCTTCCGCCCGGACTCATTCGCGGTGAAGAACACTCGTACAGGACTAAGTCCACAATTACTACAGTGTTGAACCTGACATCCGAAATCCCACATGAACACATCCTGGACGACGTGGAACCTTTTGTCACCAATGCCCATCGGCAGATTGATTCTGCCGCCATTATCCGACTCACCCCCGACGGCCCAGTCCACGTTCCCAAATTGGGAATGGCGATCGCCTGGACCTCGGTTCCCAAGTTCATTCATGATGCCAGGGATTATGACGCGGATCTGTTCATCACAGAGTATGTAGAAGAGTATCAAGAATCCGAGCCTGCCAGTGAATACAACTGCTGGCCTGAAACCGAGCCCGACACTGAACCCGACATTGAACCTGATACCGAGCCTGATACTGAACTTGACACTGACACCGAACACGATATCGAGCCCGACAATGAGCACGATACCGACAACGACACGAAGAAGGACATAGACGAGGATGATGACAACGACGCGAACTAAGATACTGAAGACACAACCCCGCAGCACATCGAGGGCTGGAGGAGAATCATGTTGCATGGGCGAGTAACAGAAGAACGACTTGCGGAGGACCTGAACAAGAGTCAATCGCATTGGTTGTATGAGTTGGGGGAGCATGGGCTCAAAGTTCATGTACACCTACTTCGTGGCAGTCGAGAGCGGTCACTGATTCAGATTGCGACCGATCGGTACCTACTTTGGCAGACCACGTGTTACGAGTAATGTGTTAGGAGTAATGAATGCACCAGAGCTATCATAGACTATAGCTGTACACAAAACCAAGAGCTGACGCTTCCAACACTAGATCGTTCTGACTACTGAATAGAGTGCCTACGTGAGACCAAGTTTTGACGCAGGAGATGCATGGAGTGACCTCCTGACATGGGCATCTATCCTGGGCTAACTCGCTGAAACGACCACTAAGTTGCTACCATCTTCCACTAGATTTTTCTCCTCGCCGGGGAAGGAGGCAAGGTTCTTCGCCGCTTATCAATGACACCAACACATCCAACCCAGAGCCTTCCAAGCTGTGTGCTTGTAGGCCATGCTGCTTTGTCTCGTCCCAATCGTCTCTGGTCTCAATTCTATTAGATCATCTGAGCCATGGGGGGCATTAGAGGTCAGTGGGACTGGTGCTCAGTCAAACCACATTCCTGAAAGAAAGAGCAGCAGCCGCAACCTAATCAAGTTACTACTGCATCGTGACTGTAGACCGTACCATGCACCCAGCGAAAGAGACATCTTCAAAAGATTGAAAACGCATTCCTGATCCTTTGTCGTTGTCTTTAAACCTCATCCAGTCACCTGCCATAAAGAGCATAGCGAAACTCTTAGGAAACAAATTACTGCGTACAGAAGATCGTCGTTTCCGCCCTTTCGACCTCCAATCCTGCTAACAGTGCAATATAGAAAAGCTCACCAGAAGCACGTACAAGATGGGCGTCGAAGAATGGATGAGATCCTCAATCGAGATGTTCTTCCGAGAGCACCCAAGCCCTACCCAGCAAGATCTGGACGAGCACGCCAAAGCAATCGTCCAGGCTTCCTCCGTCCGCCCGGTCGGCATGCAAGGCGCATGCAGCTACACCGTCATCGCAGGCACCGATACCATCGTTTCCTTCCGAATCCCTGAAAGCCCGCTCGGGGGAAGACTGGACAAGCTTGCTCACGTTATCCACGGCGACGTTGTCCCCCTGGCCACCTTCCACGGCGTGGTTGGCGGAGATGCGCCGGCTGGAAAATGACTCTTTGTTTACACAATGCCATTGCTACCAGGCAATTCTTATCTACAAGTCGCGCCTTCTGATCCTGAGCTCACCGAGGCACAGCTGGCGAAACAGCTAAGCTTCATTAGCTGCTTGATTGTTTGATTGATTGTATTTATCGTGGATGCAGTCCCTCCATAGGGCAAACCACGCCTCCCAGAGCCATTGCATCGCAAGGTTGTAGAGGTGTCAGTCTAGATACATTCAGATCCGTGCACGAGCCTATCCTCGCTGTAGCGGTACCAACCTGGAGTGACCAGATGGTTTTAGTCAATACCCAAACACGATTCCGTCAGAAAAACCTCCTGTCCAGTGACTAAGCGACCCAGTGAACCTCAGTCCTCCGGTATACACATCGTTCCAGTAGCCGTTCGATATATGTCGCATTGGTGGGTGAAGTAGGTGTTTGTTATCTGCTGGCGAGGGAAACCACAAGGGGAAAAACCTCACAGGAGTGGGTGTTGTGGAGACAAGCTGTTTGGCTATCGGGCTCTGCGATAAGGGGCCTCTTCACTGTCGTGTGCTGGTTGTCGACTCGCACAAGCCGGGTCAGAAGGGGGCCATAGCAGGATTCGAACCCACTTGTTCTCGTCGCCCACCGCACAAACGAGAACACAACCAGGCGCATTTGACCATTGCGCCATACGGCCTTTTCATTAGCTGCTTGTCCAGGTGAGACGGCGCATGCTGAAAGGGCCCTCGATTCTTTGTTCTGACAGGAGTAGGTTCTTTGCGCGAGCGTGGTCGAACCCGCAGGGAGTCGAAAAAAGGGGAGTTGGAGAAGCAGAAACACTTCGTGTTCAACAAACTCAACGTCCTAGAGTCTTCGCAGGAATGCAGCTACCTCCACCACCGTCTACCCGAACTCAAAGAGCAAGTTCGCTAATACCGTTGCAGATTGATTATTCCGAGCGCATTCGAATCGAAAAGCGCTTCTGGGACGTATTTTGGGACGCTACGAAAATCAAAACAGTCGAAGAACAGGAGAAGATCAAGTACCTCGTCGAGCAAGCAGCGAAGCTCGGTCTCCTGTTGGTTTCTGCGTTCAAGTTCGACGAGGATAGGAATCAGTTGGACGAAGTTTATCCAGAACCGTCCCAGTACAGTACCTGACTTCCTGGCTGACCGGTAGTGGATGGACTGATTCGCTTCTGAAGGATGAAAAGGTCAGCTTCAGTGGTGTCTCTGAAAGCCCTGAGACAGAACCAATAAAGCAGGCTGGAGATGCCCAGGCGAAGAGGGCCGAAATTTTCCAGAAGAAGGAAGCTGAAAACGTCCAGGGGAAGGAGGCTGAAGATTCTCAGGGGAAGGAGTAATTGGATGCACAATGACACGATAAGGAGGCCAGTTTGTCAGCCCCAGCCTCCAGACGGCACTGAGAATACTGCCACTATGTGTGAGAGTGCGATGGAAAGAATGGGCTCGGGCGAGAGCGGAGTGTTTACTTTACTCTTCATCCACCACGCAACGTATGCAATTGATGGTATAACGATGAAATTGAAGTGGTGTGATATTCGGAGGCAATTAAACCCGCCATCACACCCTCTGGAAAGAACGGCGTAGCTACATAGTGTAGAGTGCCGCCTTCTCCATTTCCCAATGTATTTAGTACCTGTCCGTTCCATTGCGGATCAGGAACGCAAACCCTGCTTCGGCCAAGATTCTGCCCACCACCATCAAATCCCGGCACTGCGAGTGAACATTCAAGCTTGAACAGCGCCTGTGCCGCTGCGGCATCACCGAATAACCGCCAAGAGACGCGGATTCCTAGGCTGTGAAAGATGTTCCTTCGAGAGGCGCCAAGCCCTGGTATCTACCGTCGCTTCCAAGTACGTTACTGAGTGATTGAGAATGACGACCTGTCGGAATTTAGACGTCTACAACATGAAACAGGTGGCCTATAGTCCTACAGTATAAAGTAAGCATCAATTGCCACTTAGCTGTGAACACATGGAGGTGGGTTTGCCGCAGTGGGTGGCCGAGTTGTCAGCATCCAATCTGCCTTGGTGGCGAGTCAGGATTCTGTAGTGCTAACGGCTTTGCTGGGTATAGTATCAGGCATGTCAGGGTTTTGACTCCTTGTATGACCATCCCAAAGCAGGTTGAGAGGGTCGGGATTCATGGTTGTACACCTGGACCACCTGGTCATTTCAGTGTGTGGTGGTAACCACATGTTGCCCTAGTATGGTCATCATAGGTCTCCAGGGCTCGTCTGATTGCTGCCTACCCAAGGTGACGCGATTGCGCCAGAAAAGTTCGGACTTCGAAGTCGAATTACATATTCAAGGCCAACGTTCGTTTCATTTTAACGTCTGTGTAATGAGTACCTAGGTAGATGATCAAACATTCAATTACACAAAATATAGTTACATCGCAGTGTTCCTGCGCTTTACCTGTTGAGGATTCCAACAGGATCATCGTCAATCAGCCAAAGATCTTTTTGGCTTTGATACGCATCTGTATGTACTTCCATCTTAGTTTGGCCCACAGCTGTCCCTCGGGAACATCCTTCAGCGTCTTGCCAATGGCGCTGTTGAACGAATCAATCTCATGCTTCAGACCCTCTCGGAACAGCTTTGTCCAAGTGCGATAGTTCTCCGGTGAGTAGTACCTGGCCTCGTTGTTATCAAGAAAGTCTACATCAGTCGGCAGTTAGACATAAATCAGGTTTCGTGCTCCTGGGTGCATGTTACATACTTGAAAGCCTCACTCCGAACTCGATATCGTTATTCGGTTCGACCCAATACCTGTAGAATGGCGTGTCTTGCGAAGCCATACGTTAGCAAGGAGTGCAAATACACAATGGATTGAACGCCAATTACCTTTCTTGGTCTTCGGCGAGCGAGCTAGCGTGGCTGCAAGCATTTTCCACCCCTATGAAGCTATGTCAGCACAGCTGCGCTCCGTCCGAGTCGTGGCTGTGAGCACCTACGAAGTAGCGGGGAATATTCATCACGTGTAGTGCGAACCAGTCTTGCGACTTGAGGTTATCCTGGAGCCACGCCGTATACGATTGCGTGGCAAAGGTCATCTCAGCATTGTCGATGTCGTCGTCAGAGATTCTCAGGCCGCTGCGCAGAGTTGCTTCGCGGAATAACGCGGCGTTGTTAGTGGATCTTTCGACAGCTTCCGATTCGTCTTCTAACTCTTTCGCTCCCGGCGGGTTATCTTTCAGATATTTCTGCAGCCGCCCAATCCTAAAATCTATGAGCTCGAGGAGATAGAGGTAGCTTTGCGATGTGATGTGTTCTTCAATGTTGGTGTTCTGGTTGTATGATTGTATGGTTGTATGGTTGATGAATCCATTTCTCCAAACAGTGGAGGCTCGACCGTTCTTATAAGTGCTGCAAATACAACACCACCTTCTAGGCAGCTTCGGTGCAAACAAGGGAATTGTCCCTTCTCACAATAGCCGCTTCATCTTGAAGGAAGGGGATATTATTGTTGTAGATTGTCCATCATTAGACTGCTTTGTTGACCTCCCTAGGTCTGCTGGTATCGCAGCCCATCTTTGTCCTGCAACACCAAAGAGTCTTTGATCCGAAGCCGAGGCCCCTTTGTGACTTTTAAAGACCTACTCGCCAGTAAGATTAGCTTGGGATGTATATCGTATCGGAGGTCTAGTCGCACTGCCATTAACTCATGCAATGCCGTGACACAGAAACCATGGACAACCTCGACAGGTCGATGAACATAGCCAGATTGAGTTCCCAGGTCTCAGGCGGCCAGGTTTGCGAAACACATGGCCAAGATTATGACATACCGTAGTACGACAGCGCAAGCAAGACGGAGCGGGGCCCTCCAACCTTCCAAGTAGTGGTCAATCCTCAAAGACGACTTGGACGCATAATGACGAGCTTGTCCTGGATTGATAAGGTGAGGAAGAGGGAGCAGTATGAGGTTGCGATTGTGTGGGGTGTCAGTTGACGGTTGTGCAACTTGTGACTGATTGAGGTGGTGCATGGTCCGATGGCTGCAGCTGGGATACATGTGACTGAAGCAGGGCTGAATGTATATGTAGCATACAGTGGGTAGACAAAAAAACCGAACACCTTTTAATCTTACTTCTCGCACTTTTACACACGCTTGTTAAAGACTTTATTTAATTAAAAATAAGGAAAAGAATTTCAAATTTAAATTAACTATATAAATATTAAACTACTAGTTTTATTTCATTTATAAACTGTTTTTCTTTAATTAATAGCACCGCTTAAGAACTAGGTATATATTTATATAAATTTACCCTTTTATAACAGTTTTATAAAATAAGTATAGAAAAACTAACTAAGCTATGTTTTAAAAAATAGAATATATAAATTTTTATTAGAAGGACATCTAAATAAATCGATTATATTAAAAGATGTAAGAATAAGTATAAAATAGCTCTTTTCACATAGTTCTATTAAAATCTCTATAATTATTCAAGTTAGAATACTTTTTAAAAATTAACTTTTTTACGCCTTTAAAACTTTACATATTTATCTTTATCCCGTATTTTTTTTTTCTCGCGTAAAGCTTTGAATGTGGTTATAATGAGGAGGGTTCTTTTATAAGAGTAGGGTGTTCGTGTCACGGCGAGCATACTGGGGAGCTGGGATATGGCCTGCAGCAAGCAGCTATTACTCTATTAACAAGAATATCAAGACCAGAGAGGAAAGGAAGAGAGAGAGATAGGTACAGCGGGAGGTTGCCCCTTTAAGGGGATCCTCTGGTCAGATCCTTCCCTTGTTGGGAAGTATCGGCTTGTCATGTGGGAAGGTCTGTGCAGGCCGTCACAGTTCGGTATTTGTGCTGACCCTCTGTAACTGCATAACTTCTGCTACATAAAGTACGGGCGATCAACAGCCAATTGAATCGTCGTGAATATATTGAGCTAGGCATCTGCAGCCCTACGTATGCAGGTGCCCCCCTCAACCGTGGTTCCGTGAATCCGTCCGAACCGGCGTCACAATTTGGCCGCGTCGGGTCGTCGCAAGTTCCCGAGGCTTAACTTTCAGCACGATTGACTGACTACGTACTTATATCTTCCCATGACAATCTGCAACCTTTGAGAAGCGAACATAGTCTACACAACTTCCACAATCCGTTCTGCGCTGCGAGCCTCGAGAATCTGCACGATGTCCTCCACTGCTGCCGTGTTCGGCAACACCGGTCTTGTCGGCTCCCACATCTTGGAGACCCTACTCGGCCTCGACGCATGCAAGTCCGTCTACACCATCTCCCGCCGCGCCCCGAAGACCGAATCCCCCAAATTGAACGCGACCATCGAAGCCGACACGACCAAGTGGACATCCAAGCTCCACTCCATTGCTCCGCTCCCCGAAACCGTCTTCTCCGCGCTCGGCACCACTCGAGTCCAAGCTGGCGGCATCCAGAACCAGTGGAAGATCGACCATGACCGTGAGTGACTGACCACCTCCCCAGTCCGGCACGAGCTAGGCTTTTCTTTCGAACACAGCTAACCAGCCGTTACACCACCGCGCAGTGAACATCGAGATCGCCAAAGCCGCGCACGCCGCCGGCGTCAAAACCTACATCTTCATATCCTCGGGCGGCACGCGGGGCCTCCTAAGCAACTACGTTCCCTACTCGAAGATGAAGGTCGGCGTCGAGGACGCCATCAAGTCGCTCGGCTTCGAGCAGGCCATCATCGTGCGACCCGGCATGCTGCTGGGCGACCGCGGCAATGCCGCGTCGAGCCACCCCGGCAACGGCTTCCTGAACTCCGCCTTCCGCAGTCTGGGCTACATCGGCCAGGGCGTGCAGAACAAGTTCAGTCAGGAGGGCGACGTTGTCGCGCGCGCGGCTGTCAAGGCGAGCATCCTGGCGGCGGAGGGCAAGGCATCCAGCAAGTACTGGATCCTGGACGCTGCCGAAATCGTCAAGCTTGGGCGGGACGAGTGGAAGTCTTGAGTGGGGTGGCTGTCTTTGTTGTTATTCGGTGGGTGTTGTGGTTATCTGTACGCGGTAGCTGGCCTTGAAGGTGTTTGGCGTTATAAGAAGGACTCGAATATACCCGGACAGCGAAGTAGCTCAGGCATATCGTCCTGATAGGTATGCATCTTAGACTTCCCATGCTTCGTATATCTACCGCCGAATCGTACACTGAGAACCTCATACGCGTGGGGTAAGCACGGAGACATTGGCACATATGGAATATGGTGTTCTTTTCGAGTGGATAAGAAGACGGTGCCGGAACAAAGAGCTTATCGGTCTAGACTAATACTTGTCTCAGACACATTGAATTAGGTTATTGGAGTGGAGAGGATCGACCACAGGCTGAACATTCATTAATCTTACATGTCTCTACTGGTAAGAAACGAACGAAAGGAGAAGCCATTAGCCAGAAGATTATACGTCGATTTAAAGTGCTGACATCACATGCACACTTTAGTCAGCGGTCTACCCTTGAGCTCTGTGATAGGGGAGGATTCCGGCGTGGCATTTAGTTGGGAGGTATTAAAACGTGTTTGCAGATGCTTGTATGGTCATATGTATGAAAGACATCGTCTTCCCAGGGATTTCAATATGTCAGACATAAGAAGTTACGCAAATGAGATGACCGCCTGGGGAAGGTGAGTGATACCAGAAGATCTTCGTCTCTTTGGGGATAACTAAGATGGACCAGGAACTAGAGTGCTATGGCAAACCTGTCCATATTGCGGTCAGACCAGGTAGTCGGCCCTGCCAGAGAGTCTCCAAAAAAAAGAAATTTCCCCACTGAAGGTTACGTCAGAAAATAGCAATACTCTTTATTAAACGGCGAAGAACGTGTCCGATCAAGCGTCCCAAGCCTTGGATCTTTACACCACTTGTAAGACACACTGCGCCGCAGCAACAACAATGACACAGTGTGTTGGTCCCAGTATCTCAATACGAGAGTCTGATGTTTAGTTGCCCTGGTTGTGCCGGGAATGTTAGATGCAATGTGGTGTCCTGAAGAGAGGAAGTCAAACGTGCATAGCGTATGTGGCGCATTCTTCCTGGTCCGCAGCGCCGCTTACAGATATCAGGAATGGTGACCAGTAGCGCGCTCCACGCCCCCGATGCTCCACAAATGCAGGTATTATTAGCACGGCCAAATCACGGTGGAATATACATCCTTCCGGCAGTAGTGATCGATGACACAAAATCATCAAGACAGGTATACCCTATAGCAATTTATGTGAGCTGATGGCCTGATAGTTACCTGCGAGGAGGGCTTGGGCGGTGGAGGGCGCTGCTGGTCACCCTCAACCTGATATGTTGCATCCATTATGAGATCCAAAATAACCTCGTAAGCAATTACGAGGGCCATTTGCGTGACATGATTGTCAGGAAGCATCCCGAGAACAAAGGGATCATACGTGTACATATACATGGCCTTCGCGCCTGATTAGTACTGCACCTCTCTGCAGAACAACATACATCTTACCCCCCCCTATGGGTGGCCTTCTGACAATGATATCTATATGTTGTAGTTATGATGGAGCAGACGCACATCGGCCTATCTGGTCCCAGTATATAGAACTTCAGATGTAATAGAATCAATAGATTCATCCGATCTATCCAGTCCCAAGTGGCCTACCTCGCCATCCAAAATCCTGACAGTATGTAATAATATCCTCTTTCAAGAACTTACCCGCCCAGACTAAAAAGTTACCTACCGAGGGGTTCTAAGAATAGGACCCGGACCGCCGACGTGCCCACTAACCGTGTAGCCATATTCAGGGGGTTCTACTGTATCTTATTTTTAAGTAGCAATGCCAGCTGTTGTCAAGTATCGTTCAGTATGTGTTGGCTCTTACCCTCTGGGCTGCCCACAGCGCAGCTCTGAGCGGGCCTTGAGGAAGTTTGTTTGTTTGTTTGTTTGTTTGTTTGTTTTGTATTTAACGTGGGGGGTAGCTCCTCAGTAGTGCAGACCACGCCTCCCAGAGCCTCTGCATCGCAGGGTTGTGGAGGTCTCAAGAAAATAAGTACAGTCAGTCCCGCTCACGGGCCCATCCCCGTTGTTGCGGCGGTATGACCTTGGGGTCATCCATCTGGTCCTTCAAGAATAGCTATCTATCGGAGACAGATTGTTGAAAAGAACTTGCTCTTCTCCGGCCTTGAGGAAGCTTGTTATATATCCACCAAGGTCCTGCTCCAGCCTGAAGCCTCCAGCTCTGGGTTTCATACCTCTTCATCCTCTGATACATACTTAAAATGCAGATCACTATGTTTCAGGCCTTGCTTGCATTCCTCATGCTTCACCAATGTCATGCGATCTCCTGGCAAAGGGTTGACTGACGACTGGAGCTATAAGCACACGTGACGAGCCGTCTAACCTATAAGGCTAAAGGGTTCTATAGGGTATATGTTCTGAGGTAAGTCAACACAAAGGACGATAGAGGCTTCTGTCAACTAGAAGACACTCACATGCTGGGGCTTGGTCTGATCCGGGGGATCACTGAATAGTCGAGTCATCAGGAGATTTCTCTCACCTTGGGGTTGGCTAAGATGCTTAAATTGATCACTGAGATAGAGACTGTCTATCTGTCTAGCCAGGAAATGTCTATCCTTATATATCCAATCTCTCCTTCACTGATGAGGTGTGCTCACCATTGCTCGCGTGAGCAGACGTGAGCAACTCTAGTCACGTGATCTTGGCTCCCTGGATCACGTGCCTGGATGCCCTGCGCTGTTCTGTATTGTGTCCCCGTTCTAATTGGGTTTCCTCATAGGTCATCCTTTTCCCTTCAGGCCTGCCCATGGTATTGTTGGTTCGTAACAGCACACTACCATAGACGCGCTCTGGGCCAATGCCCGCTTGCAGGCCACGAATGCACAGTCACGAATAGAGGCCATCCCCGATGGCGGAAGGGGGCTTGTGACCAAAGATGCCAGGGTGGCCGGGGCTAATGCGAAGTTCATGTTCGGTATCAACTTCAACCGCGTCACTGGAATCGACAAGGCAGGTAAAGCGACTATGAGCACCGCGAAAGGTGTGTAGATACTCTTTAACTTACCCCCTGAGCTTCGGTCAGTCAGCTAACTGCGACAAAGGCGAGTTCTCGGACATTCAGGGAGCACTGGACGGCACGCTGGCCGCCACTTCAAAGCCGCGTCGATTTGATCTTGAACACGCGTATCTGATCTGTGGTGGCGACGGCTTGACGTATGGCGTCGTTGATGGGAACCCCAGTGGGTATTATCGTAAGCTTCTCATAGGAAGCCATTGTTTCTAACATTCACTAGGTGGACCTGCACGAACGTGGTACGCCACGTACCACGGCGACGACGGTCCGGAATACATTATTTTTTCGCAAGCCATTGAGGGTACGCTGCTTCCCTGCCGACATAATGAATCGCCACGAGGCCGAAGTCTCTAACTTGTGAACAGAAGCTATTCGTCCATGCTCGGAAACTGAAGAGCAGGACCCTTACGCAGGGAAAACGTTCTCCGCGGTTCGAGTCGTCGATAAGAAGTGGACGGAATATACTGGAATGATCCTGTGTGACAAACAGTGGACGGGCCCCTTCATCGTCCCACCGGTGTATAGGGCGACGGCCGTCAAAGGTACGGGGACAAATGAGCTGGAGCAGAGGATGGTCGCCATTGCATTTTTCCGCAGTAGATAGCCCGGAAAGGTACGCGAAGGAACAATGTGTTAGACATTGCAGTTTGGAATTCTAAGTCAGGCTGAGCTCACCTCGCCATTATTTATCTTCAACGCGGACATATGGTGATCCAGACTCGATGTGTGTCTAGTCTCATAGCTGCATCCTAAGGCAGATGAGCTGAATTGCAGTCGCCATGCTATCTCCCGTGGCATGACGCGGCGTTGGTGAGTGAGTGGCATGCATTGCTACAACTGCAGGTCTACAGCAGGGAAAGGCTGGGCTAGGATTGTATTTGAGCAGAGACTAGGAGATTATGGAAGCCATGAAGGCATTGAATTTTATTTGCAAGATCTCACATCATGCACAAGTTGGTGCGAAGCCGTGTGCACATAGTCCTGGATTTGTTACTATCCGTCTGCAGCAAGTCCCACATTATTGTCATTGGAGGAGGAGACAGAATGGCATCTGGCCCTCGTTAGTTGGAGTGCAATGCAAGGCGATGGATGCTGATTCCATTGACCTGGCAATGTGACTTGCCAACAACAATAGAGTGGAAAACTAGCAAACCCCGGAAAGGGGGTTGCATGTTTACCACTGTCTGCCACTCCCATCTGCAATACTTACTTCGACACATATTCCACGTGCAGCCCAGCCAGAACGAATGCATCGACTGTAATCTACGCGTCAAGAAAGTGAGGTCCCAGTACTGTCAGCCCCACGCCCCTCGCCGCGTACACAGCAACAAGAAAACGCGCCGCGCCCACCCCCTATTCCCTGTATCCAGGGACAACCACCACCGCACCACCCCAACGCTCCCCAACCCCAACCACGCCGGCGACACCACAGAAACCAGCTGAACCGGGTACATAGGCCAGTTCAACTCGCCAAATTTCCAACGACCACCCACCTAAGGGAGTGGGTGGTCTAGTGGTAATGGGCCGCGGACAGAACTGTCGGGCTTTACACAGATCCTCTGCACCTGCGGACAGAACTGTCGGGGCGAGGGGGGATCTACATTACCGCGAACCAATCTTTCAGACACACTCGCTTCTTCAGAAGTATCATTTTTTGCCTTTTGGTCAATGTGGTAGAGATTATTTTTGCGCATGCGGGAAGGGTATTTTTACCCCTATCTGAGGTTTGGCAGGAAGAGTGCTGAGTTTTGGGGTTTTGAAGACTTGAACCTCGAACCTGCCGCCCAAAATGCATTGTGACATTGCACTGGTTCGAACCCTCATTTCTTGGTTGTGCAGTGCGACGCCAGCGTCCCGTTTCCATGGGCTCCGGGACGCGTTGTCCAGGACGCGGTGCGCGTTTTCGAACCCACGCGCGACACGCATCGCGACGCTGAACCTTGTCATTCGAACCCCATTCCGCGATCGTGCATAGTGACGTTACGATCCCTTTTCTAAACCGACTGTCTCTTAAAGCTGGGATCAAGTCCGAAATGTGTTTTTACATATTGTAGTGTACTTGTCTGCGCATGCATGGCACCGGGAATACCTACCTCACTTTGCATCGCCGCTTTTTTCCGTCCACCAAGGGGATTTTCCAATGATACGCTGGTTGCTCCTATCTTGGCCATCTTCAGTGTCCTTAAATACGTTCTCACTTCAACTCCAACTCAAGTCGGCTTTCGATCTTCTCACACTTCATTACCCCTTTCTTCTCACGATGTCATCCCGAGTGTATTCTATGCTTATCTAGATGAGTCGTCTATGGTGCCATGTCTAGTCTACTTGCGAAGCGAGGTATTACGCTACTTAATCAGGCCCTGTTGCTCCTTGAGCCAGTCCCTCCAGCTTTGGTCCTTCATTATCGATCTGACCCGTGCCTCGAGCCAATCAGTATTTCCCCAGAAACCCCACGAAGCCTGAAACCTTAGCCAGTCCACGAGAGCAGTTTCCCATTGCCTGACGAAGGTATCCCACTCATACACCTTCTCTGTACCAGTAAGAAGCTTCGAATGATAACGCTCCAGTAGGCTCTTCTCTCCCTTATCCATCGAGAGCTCGTCGGGCATCGCATCTCCATCATCTGTGAGCATATCCAATGGCACCGAGCAGGTAAACAGTTTGGCGAGGTCGCAGACACCGAGACCAAGGCCGATGTATTGAAAGTCGAAGAAGGCTACCTCGTTGCCAGTCTTGGTAGTAAACAGATTCTCGGACTTTACGTCACCATGGATGTACGTCTCGACTTCTCGATTGCGTGGAGTCAGTACATTGGCTACCATTTCAGCAGTGGACGGACCGCCGGGTCCTGTAGGCTTGCAGAGTGAAGAGGACCATTCCGAATCTCTATCGTGGGCAAGGGAAGCGTACTCCTTGCGACGCGTAGCAAGATAAGTGTAGCCTCCATTCAGCCACATGGCCTTTCCAGACCGATCGCCCTTCTGCCTGCGTGCAGCTTCTTCGAGAGGGGGTAGTAGAAGTTCAGGCAAATCCGTTGGCAACAGGGACCAGGTGCTTCTGTGAAAGGTGGATAGCCAGTCTAGGGTGGAGTAGACCTGGGTTTCATTAAGCTCAGAGCGCTTCTCGCCCGCGACGGGGTATTGAGGCCGCAGGTCGGTCATGATGGTAGCGGTCAAGCCTTTGAGGAGTTCAGCGCCGGGCTTCCCACTCATATCTTGTGTTGTAGTAATGCAGTGTGCCATGGGGACGTCACTGTCTAGACGAGGGGCCAGTGTGCTGTAGAAGTACTGTTCGACTTCGTAGCTCATCATCTTTCGCAGGTGGCCTTCATCCTTGGAACCGGGCGCTATTGGCGGTGGGGATATGAGCTTGAGTATTAGCGCAAAGGTATCTGCTGGATCGTCGCTCTTTTGGGTATCATGGCGACATATACGTCGCATTCGGGAGGCGGCTGCATTGGTGGTGGCTCGAACTGTGACCTCGCAGATGTGGCCGTAGCCAGCCCACAGGGATTGCAAGTTTCGGCAGGAGATGACCTCCAGAGAATGCCATGATAGCATGATAGAGGCTACACGTTCAGCTGCAATTGGTTTGGGCATGGTGAGCGAATGAAGGTCTTTGTTGCAGTAAAATGCTCCGCCTGGGTGAGACCACTTGCTTGACGTGGAAAGTGTGGTTTGCTGTCGCAGCAAATTGGTAGTCACCGTCAGCTGCCTGGCAGCTGTGCGCAGTTGTTCCTGGATGCCAGTAGTCCAGGGTTTGTTTGTCTGCCATCACATGAGGCAACCTCTATTTCACACTCTCTTTCCTTCTCATAATCGTCCTCTTCGTCCCTTCCCCGTGTGTGCCGTTACAAATCAGCAGCATCTTCTTTCTCAGTCTCGACCAAGGTCCTTCTTGGCCCTCCTTGGCTCTGAAGATGCTCACGCCAAGCACTGCGATCTATGCGACGCAGTTTTACCCTTTGGGTAATTCTCCTGCTGTCAGCCTGACTCGCGGGGTGCCCCAGGGCCTTGACGTCGATTTCCTTCTGCTGGGATGCGGTGATTTACGAAACATCTTGTACACAGCGTACCTCGAGTCTGGATTTCCTATGATCGCCCACCGCCCCCTCTCCCATCGAATGGAGTCATGGAAGTTCTTCAGCTGACTCGTGTATAGCTCAACGCAAGTTGGATATCACTTGCTGCGATCTTGAGATTGGCATCATTGGCAAGCCCGACTTCCCCTCAATTTGCCCTCGACGGAATCTTGGCTAACTATATATCCGGCAGCTCGGAATGTGATAGTTCTTTCGCTTCTTCTCGACAACAGCACTGGGCTGGGTGAGAAGACGATTTGGAGCATTTATTACGATCTCTACATTGGTGACAATGCGTTGGAAATTCTGCGCTTGCAAAGCCAGAAGCTCTTAGACGCGTCCAAAACATTGGATCATTGGCATGCGAGCAAGTACGGCACAACATTGAAGTTCTGCGACGCGGACTCATTGGCATCCGCCAGAGCTCTTTGGACCAAATATGCAGCCGCTGCATCTTTGGGAAGTGATCCAGATCGGCTGGAATCATTCCACAAGAACATGCAACTGTCTCGCGAGAGGCCTTCTCACCACCACGCTCGGTGCTGCACAGGGAACTGTAATCGCTGGGCTGCGTTCAACTGCACCTATTATTGCGGAAACAAGCCCCAGCGATCTTCACGACGAATACGCAAGTTTCTGAAGGTTGATCGGGACCCCACCGTAGGAAGCTGTCTCGGAGAGATGCCCCAATCCAACGTATTCTGAATCGATGACTTCTAACAAATACCTTCACTACGGCACCGACTCCGTCCTTGGCTTCCACTCGCCACCGCCGACGCCAGGCTTGAATCCACATCACCACTGCAGGTCCCAACACTTCCAGCGGGGGCTTCGAAACTCCTCGAAACTGCTGGATCCCAGTTCGGGGAATGGATTTCTGCCTTCAGCGAAACCAAAGACCGCTTTGTATTCAGATTCGTTGCCGCTTATGCCCTGGTTCTCTGCCACACCATACAGCACAGCAGAAGCGGCTGCACCTCGGCGAATTTCTACAGGAGCCAGTTCGATTTACGGTCACTGGAACTCGACCCTTCTCTGTATGGCTCGGAAGGAAACTCGCCAAAGGTATTCGATGTCGTCGACTCGTCGGACCTCGCGGATCGTCTTGGCCCGTTGAATATACTCATTGCGGCTAGCCCTCTCTTGAAAGAGGCCATAACTTCAACACTCTACATGGAAACACTCTTGAGGACCGAGAAGAAGGAAACGGCTCAATTTGACCAACTCCTCCGTGGCCATGCTACCACGATGTCTTTGCTCCTGGGTGCAGGCTCTGTGGAATTCTGGACCAATGCCACAGCAGTGTCCAATGCCAATTAGTTGCTACTCAAACATTTCGCACACAAGGTTGAAAGAGAGACTCAAGTGCACACACGAATAGCATGGAAGCTCAGTGCAGCCATCTCTGGACAAGGCACCTTTCTTGGTCGCCTACGAATAAATGCTACCTCTCTAGCGAAGGCTATGTTCAAGATCTACATCCAAATGTTTGAGCACGAGAATCCATCGACTCCGCAAGGTAGCACCCTGGAAATCATCCGAGCCACATATCCACATTTCCATCGAGGCAATCTGGCAGCACTTCTGAAGGTCGTTAGCCACAAGGTTGAGACAGACTGGACCAGGATGTGTGTGGAACTCCTCGAGCTCATATCTCATGACCGCATGCTGCTTATTGGTAACAACTACGTTTCAGAGCTATGCGCGCAGCTTCACATGCAACAGGTATACACGGACCCGTGGTTGCAACAAGACATCCGGCGCGATCTGCCCCTATTCAGATTATGGAAGTCGATACCTGAGGTAGTTGCCATCACCCTTGTCATCCCTAGAGAGCGATTCAGTCGTCTGTTCAGCCAAGACAAGGCGTTGGCCGCGCCAATTGTACAAGGAGTCGTCAGTTCCAGCCCCAACGCTCCCCGGCAATGGTTGAATCTCTTCGCCGATGTCCAAGTCATGTTCGGGACTGCCAAACCTACTGCAGATAGGCGTAGTGAGGATTTTGCTCTGACAGTCTACCCAGACCCCGAGGGCTGGCTTGGCAACGACCCCGTGGTGGCTTCCTTCTACATGCCTACAGTTGCCTTCCAGGTGGAGCCGCAAAGTGCCAGGGTCGCGCTCGGTGTCCAAGGTTCGCCACAGAGCTTCAACATGTTCTCGCATATTCTAGGAGGATCATTGAACATATACGAGACGACGACAGGGGACGAAGAGCATGTCTTTGTAACCAAATACCTTCCTCACCAAAGTGGCTATCCCGTGACCTGCGCCAAGGCAGCCACGGCAGGCATTCAAACGGAGACGCTGGATACGAAACTCTCTACCTCTCTCACGGCCAATGTCAAAGACCTGTCGAGCACTATCGTATCCCTTACTGGTCGTGTAGATATCCCTTCCAATCATGGAAAGGCCTTGCTTACCAGCGGAGCGCCGGTCGAGCTGACGCAATCATCCCCTTTCACTATCGACTTGGTCTTCGGGGAGGGAAACTCTATCCATCCCATGCGATACCCTATGCCAGTATTGAAAGATAACAGCAAGTTGCGAATTGCCCGCAAGTTAGGCTACGTGGAAGTCATTGCCCCAGTAGCGCAGCCCGCTACGACTGAACCATTGGCCGACTACATATATCCAAGTAATCTAGGTCCAGCTTCACTGCCGGCCACCACAAATATCTCGCATGTCAATCTTGATAGGCTCCCAATTCTCAAAATCTCCGACAAGAACGATCTTATGTGGATGGCAAGCCTCAGCCCCATCAATTTTCTGAACGCGAAAGACAAGTGCGAAGTCTCCCAACATATGTTCCGGGATTGTCTCCATCAAGACGTCTCAATTTCAAGGAAACGCTGCTCTCGCTGTTCGTCCGGGGTGCTGGTCTCCAAGGCCGCCGATTCAACTGCTTTGGCCTCAACCATCCTCGACGCGGTGGTGTGCACATTTTCATTCTTGTCAATGCGCTGCGTCTTGATGCGGCTGCCGCATCCGTCATAGTAGACGCTGCCGTCCTCCCACTTACGGGGGCGCTCGGCAGCTCCAAGGAGATGGCAGGCTTCCTGTCTCAGTTCGCTGGAAAAATCATTACGTCCGATGTGTCCGACGGCGATCTCGTACTGTGGCAACGCACCCTCCCCGCTCTAGTCGAGCGCTGTCGCACGTGGTCACACGGTCCCAAGTGCGAGTACAAGCCACCTGGCGCCCGGATACCGCTCACCCTGCAAACGGCCAGGCCCGGGACGTGAGCACCCGCCAGAACGGCCACTCGGATGACCTCGAAAGAGTCCTTACAGAGGCCATCAGAGGGATTCTCCCGGTCTGGAGAACTACACCAAAGGTACTCTTTAAAGAATCAGGCCTACCAACGGTACAAACCATACTCAGCAAGATCCGGATGCGGTTCAGCCTAAGAATCAAAGCTATGGATAACATGCATCCGTTAGTCCGATGTGTTACAGCCCGGAACCCTACCGTGAGCAGAGGCCTGAGGGGTCTAGTTAGGATAACCGCAAGGACACGGCTCCAAAGGACGTATGAACTCACACCGGATTTCCCAAGACCAATCCTAATGGAATCAAGATATGCAACGAACGCTGTCAAAGCTGTTATAACAAGAAGCAAAGCTGAAGAAGCCAAAGTCTTCACAGACTGGCTAAAATCGCTTCTGCCTTCATACATAGTCGCCTACTCTGATGGCTCGAAATCCCTGGAGGGGCGGTGGGCTATGGATACGTGATCTATAGAGGCCGGACAAACGTAGCCTCGGGCTGTGGCAGACTGGGCCACCCAGCTGAGGTCTTTGACGGTGAGGCCGAAGGGGCCCGCCACGCACTCAGACAGGCCCTGAGGCTCAGCAGCGGCGCCCCATCCACGTGTGCCTGGATAATACAGCAGTGATCTCCGGACTGTAGGGGGAACCAGCTCAGAGCTCAAGAAGCTTTCCTAGAATTTCACGAAATCTCGGACACGTACGCCGATGTACAGGTCCGGTGGGTGCCAGGGCATATGGACATCCAAGGCAACGAAGAGGCCGACGTAAAGGCAAAGGAAGGCACTACCTTGCCAATCCCTACCAGGGCCAAACCTACGCTTGCAGGCGTCCTAGGCCTTCTCAACAAAAAGATTCAAAAAGAACATCAGTAATGGTGGGACAAGAACATCACTGATAAATACAAAAGTCTCGGCCTTCAGAAAACTACACTCAAATGCCCAGAAGAGCTCAAGCTTGACAGGCCAACACTCCACAGGCTTGTCGCATCCAGAACTGGCCACGGAGACTTTAGCTGGTACCATAGGAGGTTCAAGTATGAAGACCACTACAACTGCTCTTGCGGGAGAATCAAAACGCGAGCCCACTTTGCCTTCTGCAATAGAGCCCTCGCAAAACGGTCTAGGTGGCCACGACAGAACCGCGGACACAACGGAGAACCCAAACCAGAAGGGAGGGCCTACTGAAAATGGCTGGTAACGCACCGAAGGAACTCAGAGATTTCTGCAAGTGGACAAAATTCTACACGAAAGTCTGTCCCAGAGTTGCAGGACATCAGTTCATCGACAACCAGGCGTGACTGCGCCTGTTATCATATCTTTCTATTACTTTTATTATCTTTCCTTATGTTTTGATTCTTCTCTTTTAGCCTACAGCCTTTTAGACGCAAGGCACTACCATATCAAAGTGTGAGGAGCTCCTCGACGCTATTCGGACTACCGACTACGAGCCAGATATCACAGAGCACGAGCCCAAATGGCGGGGCCAACGGAAGCTGACGGAATACTATGCGTGCCCTCGAGGTTTGATTTGCAGGTTATCGTGGGAAATAAGGAGTCATGCCCTGCTCCCCGTACAGTAAGGCTTGTATATTAGCCCCTGAGATAGTCACCTGTACGCCAAATGTCCATAAGGATCTGGGGCCTAGAGCCCCTACGGCGTCAAATAAACTAAACTAAACTAAACCGCTCACCCTGCAACCTGCATAGCAATTCCTATGTAGCTGCGGTAAGGGTAAGTTTCCCAAAGACTTCCAGATACCGGGTCTCAAAGATTTCGACATTGCAGCCAAACACATGACCCGTGTAGCGATCAGCCCAACATACTCTGTCCCCTTCTTTGAATATATGCAGGACCATGAATTGGGGGACTATTTGGCAGCAAGCATGGAGGCTCTTGACATGGACAAGTGCAACACTTGCGGCGGCAAGAAGGGGAAGAATGGTGCCGAGCTCAAGAAGTGTTCGCGATGCTCCAAGACGAAGTACTGCTCTGTTGAATGCCAGAAGGAGGATTGGAGCAAGCACCGAAAGACTTGTGGCAAGAACTGATGTAGGTGATGATCTTCGACCAGAAGGGCCCATTTGGCCAGCCTTGAACCCAAGCCTTAGGTGTGTAATAATATAGAGTCCTGCTATTTGCACCTTGTCTCCGCCCTATCTCCCCAGGCAGCTGGCAGTGGGCTAACTACCAAGCTTATAGCTTCCTATTAGATGGACGTTATCGGTATAGTTGTCGATGTAGTTGTCGTCGCAGTTGTTAGTGCAATTGTCGGCGTAGTTGTTGGTGCAGCTGTCTGCGTAGTTGTTGGTGCAGTTGTTGGTGCAGTTATGCTGAGATAAGGGGTTATATTGCAGCTGGCTGGCAGTTGGTGCGTAGAGACAAGGTGCAAACAGCAGGACTCATAATATAACAAAAACCACGGCGAGAATGAACGGTGTAAGTTAGTATGCACACGAACGAGGCGTATCACGGCGGCAGTCACGATATGAGATCAGGGATGGGAGACAGACGACTAATCAATTGTGTTATGATCGCGAAGGTAAGCAACCTTCTGGCTAACATATCGATGATCATGCCTAAATCCGCAATTTATCATCCCTTCGGGGTATATTCCTACAAACTCCTCGCTGTTCGCTTCAAGATACCCTATTCTCGACACATTTCCTAATAATCCAAAGTCATCGAGGTTCCTGTCCTGAGGACAGCCCCTTCGATACTCCTGTTCCTCCACAATATCTCCTCAAATTCGATGTATGACACGTGGCTTTCTTTCCGGTTGGCTAGTAGCCCCGTCAAGAGCCAGCGTTCCGTCATGGCCTTCTTTATGAGAGGAGGTATGTAGCATTCGCCAGCATTTTATGCTGCAGTGTGGGAAACCCAGTGGGAAAAAACCATCACAATACATACTCCTCTCGTGAGGCATGTGTTTTGTTTGTTGGTTGGTCCGCAGCGCTCGAGTGAGCGATGCTGGTCGTGGTATCGTTGGTTCGGCGGTTGTCGTGTGTCATGTGGCGTTTTGGGGTCCCGGACCCCGCTAACGCCGATGAAGATTTCTTATCGTCCTCGTTGAAACCTTGTTTTGTCTGTCTGTGGGACGCCAACACCATTAGTCAACAACACGCGGTTACGGATGGTATCTCTGGGAGACCACTTACCTCTTGTCCTTCCTTTGGCCGGGATAGGGCATGATTTTGGCGACGCCGGGGAAGATCTTCAGGGTGCTCAAGTGAACAGCTTCTCTTCGAGAGAGTCTCGGTCTTGAATGAGGCGGTGGCGACGACAACAACAGGTAGGTGGCTGAAGTTGCGTGAAGTATCACGATGTGGCGATTGTGTGGTTGGTCGCCGACCCGCTAAGAGACTTGGATGGTCGAAGTCTTCATCGACGGGGTTGGCCCTTCATGATTGTGGTATGAGCCGTGATGCTCATTGTGTTGAAACCAGTACAGGGGCTTGCTTGGGATGGAACTTACTCGGGTCCTGAGGGTGGGCCGTTGTGCTCGTTGGTTGGGCACTGCTACGACTGGCTTTGGCTGCACTGGTGGGGAGTCGGGCTTTTTGGCAGCGATGGCGCTCCAGAGTGGCTTCCCAGTGGATGCCACGGGTGTGGTTGGTGCTGCCTTCGTGGTGGTTGATGCGGCCGTGGTGGTGGACTCCTTGGTCGTGGTGGTAGTTGCCGCTGGGTTGCTATGTGTCATGGGAGGCAATGCTGGCTGAGCTAGGCTCCCTGTGGCGGAGCTTGCTGTGCGAGCATGTGGCGGAGTGTATCTGGCTGAGCTTGCTGTGGGAGGGCTCGGCGGAAAGTTACTGGATGAGTCATCCGACGAGGTTCCGGGGGATGTGGAACGCCGGTTTGAAGTCGTGGCTCGATGGTTGTTTGCGGGTCCCTGGCATTGGAAGCCTCTGGTGGGCCTTGGTTGATGTTGGGGTTGGTGGTAGCTCTGGCCACGCAGCTTGTCACGCTGCTGGCAGTAGTTCTTGTTGCGAGCCTCCATATGCTGGGTTAGGTCCGCGAGACTTTGTTGTGTCATATCCAGCGGAGCGTTCCGGGTTGTCCACCATATCTTGAGGGCCGTCGAGGGTACAAGATAGGTTCGCTGGATGTAGATCCACGACGCCTTAGACTTGGGGCACTTACGGCCGCCCTCTAGGTGCAGGTGGTCGTATTTGTTATTGGGCTTCTCGGACCCGACGAGGGCCCGGAAATCCTGTTCCTCCTTTTGGCTGTGACAGGACTGCTTCCAGGGCGGCTGGTAGTTGTTAAGAGGGCCCCAGCTGTACGCTGAGATGGTAGTGATGTGGTATTGGCTGCCGTCTGCAGACACGCCAAGAATGAGGGCCGGGTGGTCTAGGGTACCTTCCGACATGGGGCCGTTTGTGACCAGCTTGTCGAGGTCGGCTTGGTCAAGCTCATAGTCGCCTTTCAAGAAGACGAGTTGGCCTTCGTTGAATTGGTTGCTAGCCATCTTGACTGTTGATGACTGTTGGTGTGCGTGCTTCACCAGTCAGCGCAGGGTGGACAATGTGGCTGTGGGAGGGTCTTACCTTGATGGCTTTGGGCGACGTCATCTTGTGTGCGTGAGGGCTGGGTCATTGAACTGCCGTGACGTTGCAGTTCGGAGCGGTTGTTCTCAAGAAGACCCGGTGGTGGTGTTTGGGGGGGTTGGTCTGTGGAATCCAGGATGGTTAGACTGTAGGAAGTGATGTGTGGTTAGCACAACTTATAGAGTATGACCAATTGGTGGGTAGAATGATAGAAAAGCTTCGTGAAGATACGTTGTCGTCAAGTTGTGATGAGGAGCGAACGATGTGGGTGCTATGAGTGTCGAAGGCTGTGTGACAGACAAGGCGATGGACAAGATCGTGTACGTGTAGGAGGGTAAGAAGGAAAAGCCGACCAAGAGGAACCACGGGCGAGGAGATGATGGCCTTGAAATATTCATTCTGCCAGCGAGGCGTAACTCAAAGTGAAGCTAGAATAAGGACACGATCACCAACCCACGACGCCGCCTATAGCCGGGTGGCTGCCGGTCGTATAGGCCTGGCCGAGACAATTCCCATCTATAGAGTTTCTGACGACTAAACTTACATACAACGAGAGTTTAGGTGGCACATGCAAAGTATAGCAGCTACGCCTACAATCGCTAGTCGGAAAAGGGGGCTGCGGTACAACACCCGACCCGGGTGTCTAGAACCACAATACACGTAAGGGCCATGTTTACGTACGACTCTACAGATCAGCTCTCTCTATAAAGCAGGAAACTCATGCGTAACCCCTGAGGCTGTGATGCCCGGATAAGTGAAACGGCGACGATAGTGGCTATCCTTCCAGACAGTGTTCATCTGATACCTACGCCCCCAAGAAGGCTTCGTGTTCCCAACCCGGCATATTGAGAGACGACTAATGTTATTATTATTATTAAGCTCTTCGCCCGTGAGGGAAGAGCCAAACCTAGATTTATTAAATGATAACAAACAGCAGAGTCCCCGTGCTATAGGTTAAGTCGAACAAACCACCTTACATTGAGTGTAGACGATGACCCGGCCGATTGAGAGACTTCGTGTTCCCAACTCAGCTGATTGAGAGATGGTATCGATGTTGTGGAATCGATTCAGGCTCTGCCGTAACCTTGAGCACACTAGCGAACCTTTTTTTAGAAAGAAAATTTGGTGGCTCATGACTGACCTCTGTTCCAACACCACAAGAGACATTTAAGCGAGTGGCTTCGAGAGAGAGAGTAGGCAAACTTGATAAGGCTATACATGCCTGCATCAGAACTGATAAGTGTCCAAGTGGAACAGTCAATCTATCTCTAATGGTAATACCGGCAAATTCTCCTTTTGAAAAATTCAGGACCAACTCCCTTGCAGGTAAGCAAGAGAGACCACGGCAGACAACGCAGAGCTGGCGTGTCCGCCACGCAACAACATCAACACAAGCACCAGAGGACCTGGCATGACCAGCCACCCGTAAACTGCTCTAAGTGCACTCGGGAGGACTGTTAAAAATTGGAAAAAATTACAGATGTAATGCCATTGGCTTGATTTAGCTACCTATCAAGACTATGTATTATGAAGTTTTGGTCATGTGGCGGGATTAAGGATTTGTAGTAGGGTTGCTCATGTGGTGGCTGTGTTGATTTTATCCCATGGGCTGCCTGGCTGGCAGGAAATCAGGACGGCTACGAGGGGAATTGCTAAAATCACGTGGAGAGGACCGCATATACCCTCAACTATACTGTATCTGGTGGGCACGGGCCCGTCTTCAACCTCCATACAGAGTGGCGGGGAGGTTGTCAACTGCAGAGATGGTCAACTACTCAGCTCTAAACTCTATACAAATCGCCTAGCCAATCAAATGCGGCCGGGCGCCCCTATTTGTAGACTATGACTATTCTCCAGCCGCATTGATAGTTTGACACAACCAGCCCAATGACTCATGAGCAAATGAACGAGATCTGCCACCCGATCACCCCCCGGTCCGTTCCTGTAATCTGCAAGTCATCAGTCCCATCACTGTTCACTCCGGCTGGTACCTGCATGACGGGTGTCGATCCCCTAATGTGGACTGCGTTCGGACTTAAGCAAGACCAACGGGATTATCTGTCGGGTATAAGATTGATAAGCCCCGCCACCGATTGCAGACGGAAGACCTTGAGCTGATCACTGACAATTAACCCTACCATCCATCCGTCATCCGTCCAACCCTCCCCTCGTGTCACACCACACGGTCCATCATTGCCAGCCATACCTTATAACATATAACTTAACCATACCTACCGAACCCCAACATCCAATTCGGGCAATCCTCTCTCTCTGCCATCAAAGACCCCGTCCCCTCCCTCGCAAACCGTCCTGCCCCTCCCACCATGGCCTCCCAGCGCCCGCGCATCCTATACCCCGACGCGGGCCCCGAGCCGCCCTACCCGCTGCGCATGGAGGGCACCGTGATATCGGGCTTCGGGCGCGGGTCCAAGGAGCTGGGCATCCCGACGGCGAACCTACCGGTGGACACCACCGCAACGCCGTGGATCGCCGACGCCAAGTCGGGGGTTTACTTCGGGTGGGCGTCGCTGGCGCTGCCGGGGTCGCATGCGGATCATCCCGGTAATGGGGGGAAGATACGGCCGGTGACTACGACCATCACGGCCGGGGCTCATGAGGGTTCGGACGCGGCGGCACCAGCCGAAACAGCAGCGAAATCCGAGACGAGCGACGGCCTCACATCACCACCACTGGTGACGACCGAGATCTCCATCTCAACCAGCACCTCCTCCGATGCTCCCTCGACCACCCCCCCAACCAACACCCCATCAACCACGCAAGACCCTTCCACAACCACCCCCTCCTCGACCACCCCGAACCGCCAATACCACATCTACCCCATGGTAATGTCCATAGGCTACAACCCATTCTACAAAAACTCTATACGCTCAGCCGAGGTGCACGTCCTGCACAAGTTCGCGGCCGACTTCTACGGCGTGCCCATGCGCCTGCTGATCCTGGGCTTCGTGCGCGAGGAGCGCGACTACAGCGGGCTGGAGGCCCTGGTCGAGGACATCAATATCGACTGTGATGTTGCGCGCCAGAGCCTGGCGCGTGCGGCGTGGACGCCGAGGGAGGGCGTTGTTGTCGGGGGTGTAGGGGCTGGGGCTGTTGCTGGCGAGGCGGGCTCGGGGACGCTGGATGGGGGGTGGCTTGTGCGGGAGGATTGAAGTATATAACATGTGATTTGTCATGCCGCGGGTGATCGAAGAGCTCGAATCATCCAAAGGACACCGACGCTCCGTGGCTAGACATATAGTATATACGTGGACTTGTGGGCGCACAGGAGTTTGGATGCAAGGAAGACCTAGATTAGAATGGACGACGTCACACAGCATTTGTAAGACAGACGTGTCGTTTGACTTCGGCCTTTTAAGCCGATGTGTACTCCTGATTTATGTCACGTCTCTATATGACAGACTTGAGAAAGTACATGCAGTAAAAGATGAATGACCAGCTCCCACGAGGGGGAGAAGAGCGCTAAATGCGAGCTCCATCCAGAACGCCGCCCATGCGATATGTAGCCCATATGCCAAAGGAGATATACGCGGAATGTCTCAGAGATAGAAGAAGAAGTCCCAAGCTAACCCCATTAGAGGTTACACTGCGAGGTGCTGATCTTGGGTACGGTAGTAACACGGCAGGAACTTGTGGCCCATTTGGTCAGCGGTTTATCAACAAGGCAGCAATTGCGTGGTCAGAGACTCACATTCATGACGATCAGCATAGGGATATCGAAGACATCACGTTTGATTGTCCAGCAGAACGTGCAGTCAATCTTGCCGTCCTTCTCAAGCTTCGATATGCCGTGTTCACCATCTATCTTGGTGACTCGTTTACTGAGGATGCTGCTTCGCTTTTCCCGCTGAGGCGACTCCTCATTCGCGATGCTGTCGTTCATTTCTTTCGTTCGGTACTTCAGCAGTCGACATTTCCTCGTCACGTGCCCTCGGCTGTCCCCGAAAGCCAGTTGAGCGAAATCTTCGTAGAATTGGATAACGCTGTCGTCATCCATGAATTCGGCGATGAAGACTGGCTGCAGAGCCCCATCAGACCCGTTGCCTGTATCAGGTTGAACAGTCTTCAGTCGCGGCGTTGTAAACTCTGCTCTGCTCGAATTACTGAGAGTGCCTGATTCCGACCCGGATCGCCCGGTGTTGGCATTTCCATTAGGCTCCTTGCCCAACAGCACATCCTTCGTCCACCCCGTGAGAGCGATGAATTCTTTGTTCACAGCCGCCACTTCACCCGTTCTCCGGCAAACGATCGTCGGCGCTGAGCAGTGCCCCATGAAGTCCTCGTACTCGAACAAAGTCCGTTGGAGACACTTCTCCATGAAAATGAGGTCTTGTCTGTTGAGATGCCTTGTGCAGGCGATGAAGGATGGTCGGATGCTCGCAAGTGACTTGGCGATGCGCAGCGTCTTGTTCGCTGAGAATCGACGCTGAACAAATGTGATGAGGTTGTGGAACCCCGTCAAATATGGGTATGGCTCATTGACCGTCTCGTATATCGAAGACGGATCACGTTGCCGTTTCCCCAGCAAGGCCTGCGGCCCAACCTTGTTGTTTGCATTGTGAGGCTTCGGTTTCGGCCTAGGAGGCTGAGCCATCGACTGAGTACTGGCCGGTGTATAACTACAGCTGGTTGGCGATTTATCGAACCCGTAGCTGGTCGGCTGTGGGCTTGACGTGTTGTCTGTCCCTGGACTGGAAAAACTATTGGGTGTCGGCCCGGCTGCTGCTATGGCGTACGCGTGAGGTAGCCCATGCTGCAGACTTCCTTGCGGGTATGCATTGCTATTTTGGTCCACATTCATGAAGTTCTCGACCATGCCTTGATCATACATGTGGTTGTATTGATTGCCGACACCGTTTGGAAACATAGCCGAATGGCCATAGCCCACGTCATGTCCGGGCGGGTGAGATACAGCCTCCCTCGGCGGTGTCTCTGCAGCACCAGAAGACATGTGATTGAGCATGCCGAACTCGAGAGCACCATAGTGACTTCCAAAGTTCAGACCTTCCAGGTCGAAATTGAATATTGCCGGATTGCTTGGGTCGAACATGGCTGTGGAGAAGTGGTTTGGCATCTCGCCTGATACCGGAGAAGGTCCCGCCATGGCGGCCATCTGTGCCGAGCTGTTGCCATTGTGAGCTTGGAATCTGGGCGTGACCGGCGAATGTTGGCCCCCGAAGGGCATGCCCTCCGGCAGTCCTGTCACCTGGCTCTGAGCGACGCCGGTAAACATGGGGTAAGATGGGGCGGTGGTAGCCTGCGAAAAGTACGTGGGACCTTCGGAAGCACCATTGGAATGATGCCCGCCGTTGGTTTGCTTCGGGGCCGCACTGGGGTTGTAGTTTGGTCCCAATACTGGGCGCAACGCGTCCGCGGGAGCATCATGTAGATATTTCGCCTTCTTGCGGACGCCGTCCTGGCAAGCTTCGGCCAGACCGCGTTTGATGCATCGCTGGCAAGGCCGCTCATCTCCTATTTGAAGGCTTAGTATGTGTTCACGCTCTATCGCGGAACCATGGAAACGCGTGATCGCGTGATCGCAGGCACAATTGGGGGAGGACGCCGTGGGGGTTGCTCGTGGGGGCCAGGTAGAGAGGCTGATGGGGTTTCGGCAATTAAATGCGGAGGCTGAGACTTACCGCACGTCAGATGCGCCCGCTGACAAGCAAAACACGCACGTCTGGCCTTCTTGCGCCGAGGACGATGGGGATCTTTGGGATCATATTTCTTCTTCACCTCTCCCGAATTTTCGGCGCCGGCCTCTGGCGAAGTGTTGGAATCAGGCATCTTCTCGTCGTCGTCGTCTTTGATGGGATGTTCGCCGTCGTCGAGGTCGTTCTCGTTGTCAGACATGACATCTGAGACCTCGGTCCCGTTTGGCTCAACGTCGTCCGGCATCTTGTCTTGGGTTTTATATAAAATCACCGCCAGATATCCACGCCTAACGAAGTATACGGCAATGCAAGCCCTGGCTCACTATTGACGCAACCACACCTCCTTGCAAAACCGTGTAGCTTGCGGACTCCTGCGGGAGTGTCACGGTCGCGGTCCAGGGCAGGCACTCCAACTTCCAGGCTTTCCTATGGCCCGTATTCCATAAACCAATGCAGTCCTCCCACCGCTCTTTGGGCCGCCCTGGGCTGCTGAAGCCGGGGTCTGGATTGCTGGCCAGTAGCAATGATCTCCAGAGTTATGCAAGCCGATGACGATGCCGAGAGCTGAACAGCAGAGCTGGGAATAGTATCAAGCTCTAGTTAGCGCGCGTACGTGGGACGTGGACCAGGTGCGATGGCGCTGTGCGCTCCCGCGGTGCAACGACGCTCACTGACGCCCACTGGGCTGGTAGTGCCAGCAGTTGGGCAGTCGAGGGGAGGATGGTCTCGTGCGAACACAGCGCAACGGCAGGCAGTTGCTCGTATTCAGCGAGGTCTGGCAAGCCAAACTCCAATAGGCAGCTTCCCCGTGCCAAAGAGGCGTTCCTTGTGCGACGGGGGCCGGGGCTGGCTGGGCCTCAACGGACGGCTCTATCCGCTGGGCTGGCACAGATCGCGGGGGGTTGAGAGCTTGAGCACTCCCAGCAGGGACAAGGACGGGCCGGCAACGCGGAGGCGCTCGTGGTCTGACTCTCAGGGAGTCACACGGCGGCGGATAAGGCACTGGGGCGTCTGGCTGGGGTGGTATGCGGGATGGTCGATGCTCCTGCAGCTACCCGGGACGTCTGAAGCAGTTCGCATTGGATACTGGCAGCTGGAGTACTGGGTGCTGCCGGCGACTCGGATGACTGGTGGCGGGCGGTGTGGTGGGTGTTCGGCGACCTGGGGATATGTATTCGCCGTGTGAGTGTGGTGGATGACGACGTCGAGGCAGACGTCCACGAACCGGCTGCGTGTGTGACGGAATTATTCAGAGAGGCCCCCTTAGATAGAGCACGGCGACGCGCTCTGCATTGGATATCTAATATGCATGCGCTGGAAGCATAAGCAATGGCAGACTGCGCAGAGTGGGCATTGCAGACGCGGGCGTGGGCGTGGGCGTGGGCGAACGGGTGGGAAAAAGCAAAAGAAGGTCAAGACGATGTCAGCACGGACATCCACATGTAAAGTTTACCCAGGTGAGGTAGTCAATTCGTTGCGATTCTAGGCCAGTTGAAGACGCTGATGCAGTGGTGGCGCCGAGCGAATAGTAGAATGTAACCTGCAGAGTTAAGGTACGGAAGGAGAAGCAGAACAGCGTTGTGTCCAAAAACGTCTAAGAATGGGAGGCAGACGTCGTCGTCCTGTCGTAGAGGATATGCAGATGCGATTCGATGCGACTTCACGAGCTCGAGCATGTGCGTTCCAGTGCCAGCAGCAGCAACAAGCAACAAGCAGCAAGACCTGGTCCTGGTCCTGGTCCTGGTCCTGGTCCCGGTCAAGGACGAGGTACAGGTACCGGTGCACGTGCAGCCTGAGGTACAGTAGGTGGGAGGTAAGGTAGGTGGGCGAGTGCAGGTGGCGAATGGGCGAGGGCTGGCACACGATTTGGGGGTGCATGGAGGTGAGGATTTGCGGTTGATGAGATTGACGATATCGGTCGGCAGGTACTGTAGCATACCGAGAAAAATGAAATCATTGGACGTGCGAATCTCTGCGAATCCGGTCTCTCCAGTCCCAACCGATTAGCGGGGGTCCTCTTCACTGTGTCTGTGCAGGTGTCCACATGCCTCTTTTTCCGATTATCACTCCCCAGCTCCGGACCAGACTGACCACCTGCAGTGAACACAGGGCAGTGTTTACTGTGTGTGTACACTGTGATTACCTGCATATATAATGGAGACGGCACGATGGAGGGGTTCTTGGCAGTGGGGGCTAGGTGCGCCTGGCCGTTGCATCAGTGGCCAGCCCTAGACTGCGCCAAGGATGGAGATGAACCACGATGTAACGTGGATTCAGTTTGTACCACCCACCTACTATGAATGCAGAAAACGGGAGGATTGTTTTCCACCCTCCACTACCGTCTGCCTACGCGTCGTTAGAGTCAGGGAGCCACTAGATACATGAAAGGCGAGACAAAGAAAATCAAATTCGAGGTGTACGCCAAGGTAAGATCGGAGAGAAGCATCCTTGTTGTACCTTATATACTGTATCTGGGCAGTGTGTCTGCGAACATCGTACAAGACATATACCCCGCCATATGCATACACAGCCGTTACATTCCCATACATGCACACATGCAGGTAAGTGTTCTTCAAAGACCCCCACGTACGACGGGCTCTCCATGTCATCACCTCACGCACAGTGGACTGTTACCAAGTAAGAATTTAGCTTCTTCTGGGCAGCTTGGCCAGCACTTGGCCAGCACTTGGCCGCCTTTCAGCTTCACCACCACTTTTCTCGGCGTGCTTGGTAAACACGGAGAATGCAACGACTGATGACCTCAGATACCTGATCATTAGATAATAATACCTCCAGTCGTATCACCATTGACACAACAGCCAGCCCTGGAGATATCTTGTCTTCAAAAGCCAACTTGACGCAACACCGGTGCCGACAAACTCGATCAGCACTAATTCACGCAACGTGTCGTGTCATTGACGCCCGTCAATCAATGCACGCCCGTCCTCATTACCAGCGTTCTGTCAGCATTGCCAGCATTGCCAGCAATACATCAGATCCTGCAAACCATCCTCACAGGATTGGCCGAAAAAGGAGCTCCTCTTGCTACTTCGCTGAAGTCTCAACCGCCGATGGACATGCCGCGCCATTGAGACGTCGGTCCTGAATGCAGGGTTCCACGTCGGCATAGATGATACAGCAAGGTGGCCATGCACATTAAGGCCGCGTCTTATGGCCTATGACCTACATAGGTGTTGTATGTCGAGGGCACCTTTATGCAGAGCGCGGCACGACCCGTCGGACCCAGACACAACAGAAAACGGGAAAAACCACGACTCCACGAGACCAAGCTCCAAGCTCCAAGCTCTGTCGAATCACGCCTGGCCGTCCGCTCTGCCGAAGCTTTTCCTCGAGTCTTGAGGGCATACCTACGATGCTACCTACGATGCAACGCACAGCCGGAGCTTCACCTACCTTCCGCATCCGTTCTCCAGCTCATGCTTTGCCCAATCAGGTCTGCCTTGATCACACCCTGGCTTTCTACGGTACCGAAGTGCGTTGTCAAATGGTCCAAGGATAATATTCCGCCGGTTGAGAGACGCCCATGGCAGACTCTGTTCCAAGGTTCCAAGGTTGGCTCGCAGGACTGTACCTATAGTACCACGCGTTGCGTGTCGACTCTTCCCAGTCACCCATTACAAACCGCGTCTAGCCTTCCACGCCTTGTTCCATCATACGATCCATGGCCCTCGTCCATTGGAGGCAGACCTACTTACCTTGACTGGACCCTTCAATCTGCAACATACACTCCAGGACTGCCTCGTCCGCCGCTGTTCTTCCCGAGATACCCGGCGTACCTTACCTGAAGATCACCGCTGCAGCAACTTGAGCCACTGAGAACCCCTCTCAGTTTTCAACCAGAGTTTGGTGTTCTCCAACTCAAAGGAAACACACAGCGATCGTCGCTATCGTATCATTGGCAGCCACTCAGCTAGCCAACACCCGAGCCTAGCACAATATTGCATTCCAATATGCACGTCTTGTGGGGCTTATTGCCTTCATAATCTCCTCTACATGTGAGTGAGTCGATCGACGTTGGTTTCCCCAGGCATCCAATATCAAATATCTGATTCCAGATGTCCCTCTCCGGATCGGCTCTCACTCACCTGTCGACTTCGGCGCCACTCGCCGATGTCGTGCATTGCATCTTGATTACAGAGGCGCATCCAGTCGGCTTGCAACCTCATCGAAAATCCCCTCATTCCCACAGAACAGCCTCCTTAGCCAGAAAAGATCTTTCGTGCCAGCTTGTGGTAGTATTGCCGTCATGTGGACTCGCGTATGATACCACCTTTAGCTTCTTAGGGTTATTGTGCGCTGCTCCGTTCACACCAGACCCAATCTCGACCGACCCCGAACGTCAGTGTATTTCGGTTGACCAGTCGGCCTCTTAACCCCTGCGCAGCGGAATTGTACAGTCTGTACGCAAGTTGCATCGGCATTTTCAGTCTATACGACACCACATATACTGCTGTATGACGCTATTACGAGCTTCAAGCCTCCTCGTATGCTCAGGCCAAACTACATATTGGTACGTACTATTCGTCAGGTCTCTAAGCGACTTGACCCACTTTTCGGTCGCAGGCTCTTTGTAAGTGAAGGATGTTAACTTGGACCCGTACTTTAATTTAGTTTAAAATAGGTATATAGATTTAATATTTATTTTATTAAAAAAAAAATATTACCAGTTTTATTAATATTATATGATATATTAATTATTTGTATTATAAATATAAATAACGTCAATCAACATATATAATTTATTATTATTATTATTATTATTATTATTATTATTATTATTATTATTATTATTATTATTATTATTATTATTATTATTATTATTATTATTATTATTATTATTATTATTATTATTATTATTATTATTATTATTATTATTATTATTATTATTATTATTATTATTATTATTATTATTATTATTATTATTATTATTATTATTATTATTATTATTATTATTATTATTATTATTATTATTATTATTATTATTATTATTTATATTATATCAGATGTTGGATCCCAGATATGGTGCCCTTAGGTGCAGTACCCACTATGAGGCTGTCAAAGAAACAGTGGATACACCCTGGCATAGTGCAGTATGGTATTTAGCTGTAGATTAGCCTTGCCGAGCATACTTGAGAATGACAACAATATTTGCAGCGACCGCTCACACCCCCAAGGCTTGTGACCCTTCTAAAATCTCACATATTATTTATAATACAAAATCAA